AGTTTATATATATATATATTTGATACTTCATTTCTCGTCAGATCTGATGTTTTTGAACATAGACGTTTAATGTATCTGCCTTTCGTTTCAAGAATAATTTTTTACAATTTCTTTTGGACAAGATTTCGTTCAATAGATATAATATGTCTAGTCCAAAATGTCTCTCTTGTGTCGGGTTTTCCCCCCTGATTTGCCGCCCCTACTCTCTTACGGCCCTGACTGAGACTTCAGCTGAGAAAACACCAATTGCAAAATTTGGAGTTTTGGAATGGAATGGAATGGAGAATTTGGAGAATACTTTCTTTTTGCAATATTATTTTAGTGTTCGTATAAGTGACGTCACATACTCAAGGAGGAAATAAAAACTTAGTACTTCCAAGAAATTCCTAACTTAATTTTCACTAAATTGAACCAAAAATTCCTTTGTCGATGTCAAACCTACTTTTCAATGTAGGCAGTTTTCAAGTGGACATTTCTCATAAATGTTTCGCTGAATGGAAAAATATCTGATCAACTTAAGCCGTTCCGTCTAATTTCATCATAATTTTGTCTTTTTCTTGATAAGACTTGAGAATGCCTGCTCTCTCATTTTCACTAGTACGGTACTAGAGAAAGAGAGAGAGAGAGAGAGAGCGAGAGAGCACCAATTCTCATGTCTCTTCCTAGATTCGACAAGCTGTACTTACATTTGTTTTGGTAACATCGGTTAGTAATCCTTTTTTTTAATTCCGTGTAAACGTAGTAATTTCTCATGTTCATAATATATAAAATGGATGTATTATCTATAGACCCACTTCCAGTTAAATATTGATTACATCTATGTGACCAGTAAAGCCCGCATCATATGGGAATTATTTTTCATCAAAGGCATTATTGAAAATTTGATTTTGGCATTAGTTTTTATTTCGATTGAGATGAAAAATAGTAGTCAAGTGATTCACAATATCTGTCAAATTTTTATTTTTTTTCGAAACTAGAATTTTTATGCTACATATGCAATATTTCAGCTATATAAGATGATATTAACTTTTTGAACGCGCCGCCGGCCCATCGGTCGGTACCACGGCAACCGTTATGTCAAATCTGCAATATCCTCGAAAATATTCGTTTAAATTACATGCTGTAAAGGGCCATATTGATCTATATTAAATGCGCAATATATGTAAGGTAGGTACTCAATTGGATAAGGATTCAATTAGATATAGGAAATAAATACTTTCCACTTACTTAATGTATTGATATTAATACGACCAAGGTTCCGATTTTTACACCATTCTCAAGTATTCTAGCACTACTCAGGTAGTGCTAGAACTACCGTAGTATTTAATGTATTCAATATCAATACATTGATATTAATACGACCAAGGTTTTGGTTTTTACACCCTTCTCAAGTGAGTAGTACTAGAACACTTGAGAATGGTGTAAAAACCAAAACCTTGGTCGTATTAATATCAATGTATTGATATTGATACGACCAAGGTTTCGTTTTTTACACCCTTCTCAAGTGCTCTAGCACAACCTGAGTAGTGCTAGAGTGAGTGTCATACCAAGTATCGTCCAAATAGAAAATTTGCCGTTGTTCTTGTCTATATTTAGTTATTTGTTCTAAGTATTTGTTACGCAATTCCACTATAAATTGATAGATGTAGCTGTTACTACGTGTTAGGAAATCATAATGAAGAAAAGAGAAATGAAAATTTCTATGTTTTTACCACTTTTATTTGTAACTAACGTTACTGCAATTTCGTCCTATATGGACATTTTCAAACTNAACTGCAGTAACGTTAGTTACAAATAAAAGTGGTGAAAAACATAGAAGTTTTCATTTCTCTTTTTTTAATTCTACTATTCTTCTCCTTTCCATAACTGCTTGACGTTTGTTTATTATTTTAATTCTAAATCCTAGTTTCTTTATCCAATTCTGAAGAGTTTTGTCACAGCAGCTCACGTTAGGGCCGGAAGTATTCAATTTCTTCCTTATGATTTCAATTGTAGGAATCTCATTGCTTTTGTAACAGTCGTATATTGTTTTTATTAATGATTTTATTTGATGAACATCTAAAGGTTTTGGTAATCCCGCATCACATCGCGTCTTGCGTTCATAAGATTTGTTTTTGACTATTTTACGTACAGTTGAGAAGGGTATTTCGATCAAATCTGATATTGTATGTAATAGTTTTTTCCCTCGAAACTAAACTTGATATGTAGATTCTTATATACATTGAAACATACTCTCTATGTTTCAATATTCAATACGAACCGCCAATTCTTCAGTCCACGTGGACTAATTCGTAGCGGCATTATTTCTTTGTATTGGTTTTTTTGGCCTTTGAGTTCGCCGATATCTTTAAAAATTACTATTTCAGTTACTTCGGCTATACCAGAGGAAAATGTCAATATCTTGCTTCCCAAAAGTATTTAAAAATGCTGATTTACAAGATTCAAACTTATTTTTACACAAAATAGTCCTTACACTCTCATTATTACCATTAGTTTTTCCCTGTTCCACTACATCTAAGCACACGTTAAATTGGACTTCTTCAATATATAGGTTTGTGACGGTTTTAAAATGTACTTTTCACCAATCCAGTAGATTTTAATTTCGCCATAATCCTACTTAGAGTAGACTTTAAACATTTTGCCTGGATGTCTTCCATTAAAAATGCCGGCTGCTACACGATGAGTTGTGTTTTCACCACATAGAAATGAAAATTTCTATGTTTTTCACCACTTTTAATTGTAACTAACGTTACTGCAGTTTCGTCCTATATGGACATTCTCAAACTAATACAATAAACTCTAATACTTGTATTGTAACTAACATTACTTCAGTTTCGTCCTATATGGACATTCTCAAACTAATACAAGTATTAGAGTTTATTGTATTAGTTTGAGAATGTCCATATAGGACGAAACTGCAGTAACGTTAGTTACAAATGAAAATGGTAAAAAACATAGAAAGCTTCAATTATCTTTTCTTCATTATGAATTCCTACCATGTAGAAACGGCTACATCCATCAATTTATTCCTTATAAGGATTATGTTTTGAGGGAAAAATAAAGAAAATGTTATTATAATCAATCAGTCTTTATTTTTTTATCCTTAAATCACAACGCTATGCAGTCTTCGACATTTTTACTTGTTGATAATCAACAAATCAACATAACAACCCCTGATTTAAGAAAAAATATTAATTGCACCTTGAAAATACTTAAAATAGGTGAGGTGTTTATTTGAGTAGGTGTAGATTCTTCTTTGAATATTATTAATGGTCACGAGTTACGAAATGAATGAAATTCAACGCACCGAACATGACCGATCACAGCGTGAGAACTCCCGAATGTAGTTTTAGTTTTGGTCAGACACTAATTTGTGGTACAATCCTAATTTCTCCCACTTCCTCATCCGATAAATTCCTGTCGCGGCATGATCGCGAAATTACCGCCCAATGCTAACAATGAACATGTCTAAACGTGGGGCTGCTGAATGAAACCATAATGGTTATTATCCATCTATTCACTCATAAAAATATATTTCAATACAATACTATTACATTACTAAAAGCATAATCCATTCATTAAAATTACCAATTTCAAAAATCATAATAAAGACTTGTAAATTCAATTGAACTATTTTGTTTAGAACAGTTTTTGAAAATAACACATTGAGAAATGAATCAAGAATGTCCAAACAAAATAACAATAAAACATGTGTATAGAAAGAGCATGTTAATAGAAAAATCAGAGATTGTAGAATGGAGAAGAAACTATTTAAGAGAAATAAAGAAAGCCAGAGTAGGTAAATCTCTTTTTTATTTGGATGAAACATGGGTCAATGAGGGTCATACCGTGTCGAAGGTTTGGCAAGATCAGAACATCAAAAGTGGAACAAGCCTTTATAGAAGATTGGTCCACTGGTTTGAAAATTCCAGTTGGAAAAGGTCGTCGTCTTATCATCGCTCACATAGGCAGCAGTGAAGGATTCGTGAAAGATGGATTGATGGTGTTTGAATCGAAGAAAAATGGGGATTATCATCAAGAAATGGATGCCACAGTATTCGAAGAATACTTGTAAAACTTCCGCAGGGATCCGTAATAGTAATGGATACCTAACGCAAGTTACCACAGTAGACGAATCGAGAAGCTGCCGACGTCGTGTTAATTTTTTTAGAGTTTTCTACATTAAACGTGGGTTATGTTTGTTGCTGTCAATCTGATTAACATAATATTGACTTTCTTTCGCTTTTATAATATTTACGACAGCATTACGTTTATTTTTATAATTATGCCAATTAACATCATTAGCATTTCTTTTAAATAACTTGTAAGCAAAATCTCTTTCTTTACTCAACCTTCTGATTTGATCATCATACCAAGGCAGATCTTCTTCATAGAAAGTAATTGTTTTTAAAGGTGCAATTTCATTTAAGATATTTTCACTATTTTCTTTAATGTTATCATAAATCTGATACATATTTGTATTGTTAAGTGAAAAGTTACAATATATTAAATTAAGATTAATGTTGAACAAATTTCTTTCTGTCAAGTTCCTAACAGTTTTTGTTTGTTTGTTTCTGTAATTTATTTTTTCACTATGAAAATATTTAACAGATATTAAAAGGTGGTCTGTGAGTTTAGGTTCATTCAAAACAGTTGCTACAGTGCTGTCCCAATTAGTTAACACATAATCAATTGAGGTCTTACTGTTATTAGTAATTCTTGTAAAGGTTGTTACTTTCTTTAATAAACCATATGCATTAAAAAGTTCTTTGGTCTTTTTGACATAAAATTCGTTAGATACAAAATTCACATTGAAATCACCGGCTAATACCGTGCGAAGGTTTTTACAAAACATTTCTTCACAAATACTTTCCAGATGTTCTATAAGAATGTAGCATGACTTGCACTTGGCGAGTGGTAAAGACTGCCTATTACCCATCTTATTTCACAATATGTAATTTTGATAAACTTACACCAGTAATTGTTTCTGTGAATAAATGTTTTATAATGTACGAATTGGATTCCCTTTCGTATGTAAATAACAACGCATTCAGTATGTCTAGAGTCTGAATTGTATAATTACAAATTTCCAGTTCAAAATCGTGGATATCAGTTGTTGTTCTGGATTCACTAAGCATAATCACTGCAGGATTGCAACAACAAACATCTGCTATTAATTGAGTTTTATTTGCTAATAAACTTTCAATATTTAAATATACTATGTATGAATTATATTCTTTCATTTATGTTGGTAACAGAAGATTCATTCACATTAAATATAATAACGTTATTTGCTCGTTTTCTTCTTTCTTCCATTTTATTTATAAATTCTTCCATTTCAATCTTCTTTTCATTATTTTTAATACTAGTTAGTTCATCCTTCATTATTTTATTGTTTTGTTTTAGAGTATCAACTTCATTTTTTATATCCTCCATTTGTCAGAGCAGCAATGGAACTCTCTTGAATGCCTGACGACATTCAGGACAAAAGAAAATCAGGGATCTATTTTGCAACCCAGCTGCCCGTACTTCGGAAGCTAAGTTGTGACAACTATCACAACTTATTATCTTTTCTTTTTCAATAATTACATTCTTGCATTTTCCACATTTATCTGAGTGAGCAAAACCTTGACATTTGGTCGAACTTGGCGTGCTTTTTTTGGTATAGACTTTCCTGAGCTGGAACGATTGGGCTTTGACTTCGATATTACAACCATATACCCATGATTCGTCACCAGTCGGACGGTAGCCGGTCGGTTCGACTTGGGTGCTTTGTTCATTCTCAAATCAACCGCCGTGTTGGTCGCTGGTTCAAACCTCAGACTGGACGATCGATTTTCACTTGCTATCATCCAACCCGTGTTAGGAATCGCACGTTAAAAGGTAAGGCCTCGTTAGTCCTTAGCTCGCACAAGTTTCGAATTTTGAGAGTTGTCGTACGTAGGGGTGCGAGAGCTGGTTAACTGAAAAACATATTTTGAACAGTTATGACTGTTTTAAACAAATTTGGTTCGGCGTTGACATCATTCAACAATTCCTGAGCAATGCTCATACTATGGTTTTTTTTGGCAAAATTCAGCAACTTTGTAATGAACTTCGCTGTCACACGCTTTACACTCAGAATTTTAAAAAAAACTGCAAGGACTGAGCCAACCGATATGCCGACATCCTCACCAATTTCTCTGATAGTAATTCAACGATTCTCCTTAATAATTCTCTTCATTTTCTCAACATTTTCATCAGTTGTTGGTATGCTGGGGAGTCCAGAGCGAATGTCATACTTCATATCTATTCGACCTTCTGTGTAAAACTTGTACCACTTGTAAACATTTTTCTGACTCAGAATACAATCACCGTATTCCACTTTCAACATTTCAAGTGTTTTTGAGCATGAAAAATGAGAAATTAAACTTTCTATGTTTTTTACCGCTTTTATTTGTAGCTACACAAAACTTGATGCACCTAGCCTGCGAAATTTGAACGGTCACCTTATTTTTCGAACAGCTCACGTATTTTGCATTGTGAAGTAGTGTAAACTATCAATCCAACTGAGGAAGCTACTTTCATAGTGAAACGCGATTGGAAATAATTTCTATATTGTGATAATTTGTAATTATTATTATAGATGGTGTTAATGATTTTCACCAAGTAACGGGTCAGTGTAGGTATTCAAAAATGATGTAAAGGGAATATTTGTACTTTTTTATAACATAGCTGGATTATCAAACAAATCGTTGAAATGAAATAAATCTTTCGTGAGTAAAACGTTAATTTATTTTCCTCCTGATGCAGACATTACTGATGACACCGGGATATCTACTAGGTATGTACTTACCTTAATTCGATGTGTAGTACGTTTAAAGACAAACTGTCTATTCAACAATAGATACTTTATAAAGTTGCTTTATACAGAGTCAAAAATGAATGAATTTTACATCATATGTGACCAAGTTTTATTAGCTCTATTTGAATTTTCTAGAAAAACACACATTTGATATGAAGCTTCCTTGAAGAAAATATGTCTGGAATAAATCATGGTCAAAACTAAAGAGTTAAATAAAGGTTGTAATGAGTTTATTAGTGGTGGAATTTACCAAAAATGTAAAAAATTCAAATCATCCTAACCAGCAAAAATTCTACATATGGGATAAAATTGTATTCAAAACAACATTTTCCTATAACTTTTTTCAATATTTTGAGAAATAATTCCACTTTTTTTGGAAAAAAGTTAAAATTTGACAGAGAGAATGCGAATCATGTGACTACTATTTGTTGGTTATTCTCGAAGCAAAAACTGATACCAAAAACAAATTTCAGATAACGCAATTAACAAAAATAACTCCCATATGTGATGCGGACTCTACTGGTCACCCTGCAGGAGTAGGCTGCAAGTGGATTATCGTACACATCTACCTAAAATCACTTACCATTCGCCTTTGTAGTGGATTTGAGCACATCCGATGTTTCATGTAAAAGTAAAACTAAATCAACGCTGTCAGAGAGAAAAGATGTCAAGTCATGAAGCAAAACACTAGGTTTGTTCTGAATGTAAAAGTTAAACTTTTGATGTTCTTGCTCCTTTTCCAAATGAGCTTTTTCGCTTTTTCTCACTATTTTCACGTAAGGTGCTATAACTCTTCTAGTGGCTTTATCACTTGTGTCAATAGCAACGGGATCATATATTGGAGTATTTGTGAAGAGTTTCGTTCGTCTTCTCTGCATTTTGAAGGAGTTACAATTGAATAAAAAGTGTTATCAAAATGACACTCTAGTAAAAGTAGTTTGAACGTCATAATAGTGAAATAATTGAAATAATCAATTTCGTAATAGTCACGGAAAATAAATTCAATATTTTCTCTAGGCATTTTAGTGCCGAGTTTATAGGTACTAATAAAAACGGAATCCCTCTATCTATCAGAGAAATTCATTAAATCGTTATTCATTCAAGTCATTTGCTCACAAGTTTTTTAAAAAATATAGATGAGCACACAATTTGACCAACTGAACTTGACTCGCTGTGGAAATAACCCTTGAATAGATTTCAAAGCTACATGATTGAATTATGAAAATAATTGACCGTACTTCATAATTCCCTTTTCAACAATGAATTATTTAAAATTCACAAACAATAATTCTGTAGATGGAGACAAAATAGTCTTTGAAGGTTCAATTTTAATGAATAGGAAAATGGTTAGTCCGTTTTATGACTATGAAAAAAGATAAATGATAAAAATTAAACCTAACGAATGATTGATTCTATGATGTAAATATACGTGTACCTATGTGGTAGGACTACTAGTAGGAGATACCTACATAGGTTAAATAATTCGAACATCACGTTATGGCCGGAAGTATTAAATTTCTTCCTTATGATTTCAGTTGTAGGAATCTCATTGCTTTTGTAAAGTCGAATATTATTTTTTTAATGATTAAATTAGGTGAACATCTAAGAATTTTGGTAATCCTGTATTACATCGCATCTTTCGTTCATAAAGTTTGTTTTTTCAAAAACTACACCTCATGATCTCATCTTCACAAACTTTATTTTGAAAAATATATCACATGTTTCGCTAGCACAGTAGCTTTTTCAAAACTGATGTTGCTTGTAATAGTTTGTTTCCCTCGAAACCAAACTTGAGATGTAGATTCTTATGTATATTGAAACATACTATTTGTGTTTCAGTATTTCTTTTTCGCATTGTTCACCATCGATATTGGAATCACTACAATGGAGAAAGTCTGCGTTGTTATCACACTCGTTATTATTATTAGTACTTGTACAAGGACGCCCCATTTCAAACAGATAACAAAATTTTTTAATAATTATAACTGCACCAAGATCGAATTTCAACACTCAAATCGCGATCAGTTCCCGAACTGAACATTGACGGCACGACGACGGCGATAACCATTCCCGCATTCCCCGATTTCTATTCGTCACCGTAACATGACTTCAAATTTTATTTTATGACTCTTCAGCAAATCATAAAATTCGGTTAGTAAAAATTATACAATACGAACCGCCAATTCTACAGTCCACGTGGACTAGTTTGCAGCCGGTTCATTTCTATGTATTGTTTTTTTTGGCTTTTGAGAGTACCGTCAACTTTAAGTGTACACAAAATTGTTTGCTTCGACTATACAACTCATCCCAAGATCCGAAACTAGCATAGAAAAATGAGAAATGAACCTTTCTATGTTTTTTCACCACTTTTATTTGTAACTAACGTTACTGCATTTTCGTCCTATAAGGACATTTTCAAACTAATACAATAGTTGTACTAGTTTGAGAGTTTCATTTTTCATTATGATCTCCTACCAGGAGTAACGGATCCATCCATTAATGTATATTAGCATTGAAAAAATAAATTATACTTAAAATCGCTAAAACAATCAACATATTTATGTAATTGTAGTGTACACTTCAGCAAAGATGATTTCACCCTGAGTACATGAAAGGCTGTATATGTGAATAATAGCAATTGTCTAACAACATATATCATAGATACCAGAGGTAATAAGCTAAAAAGAGTGAAAAAGAAAGTTAATTCATTTTAGAAAATTCGCAAAAGTTAGGACGCTTTTTCGTAACTGAATATTAAAAGCATACTATAACAATGACTTGTATAAATTAAACTAATGACATGCTTTACAACTACGCATAAGTACTTTGTGAGGAGAAAATTTTAACGAAGAACTGTTTGTGTACAGACGGAAAATTTTTCCCTTCACCATTTCCTCCATCTCGAAAAAATATAATATGGAAACTGCTTCGCTTTTGTCCTTGCCTTTGCTTTGTCCTTCGACTTTATAGCATTTTCATCCAAATTCCAAATTTTTCCGCAAACAATGTTTGCGGAAGCTATCTAACAGAATAACCTTGCTGGATGTCATTCTGAAATTTCATTTCACCATCACCGTTTCTGTTGAAGAATTGTGAAATTAGTTGTTTGTATTCCTTTTTTCTCCAAAATGATTATTTTCATTATTTTTTGTCTCTACAAACGAAAATCTTGTTTTCGTCTGTATAATATATAAAATACACTTTGGTAGGTATCATCTAGATAACTAACAAATATTAAAAACACTTTTTTCACACCAGAACAACACAGGACAGTATTTTTCTTCTGATGTGGGAAAAAAGGTTTCATTTCTGTCGTTTTTGTTTAGGTATGGCATGTATACTTCAATTCCAAATATTTCAAAATGATTATTTTTATTTCATATTGTGTTTTTCTCGAACAAAATTCTTTTCAGTCTTGTAAAATACATATGAAACTAAGAGTGTGAACATTACGGTCAAAGATAAATGTGCCAAAAATATCTTCCTGTTTTGTCTGCTTGGAATTTTGTCTACGACTGCAGAATTACGAGATTCACGTCAATTTCATCTGTATCAACGTCGTAACTTGCCAAAATTTCCAAATATTTTTTTCCTTCTATACAATACATAACTTCAATGAGTTCTCCCAATATTATTGATTCATCACATTGATTGATTTTGTATTGTGCAATGTAAGGAACATTCTCAATTGAACATATTATGGGTTCGTTGTCCCTTCTTCTAATGTTAACTGATATATATGTGCCCCTTTCCTTCAAATTCCAGTGCAAACCTTCACCAATGGCAATGTACTTTTTTTGAAAGAGTTTTTTTTATAGTCTTGGAACCGCGATTTATTGTTATGATATTGTTGTAAATCATGCTCGAAAAAAAATAAAGCCGGCCGCCACTGGTAACCATAAACCAAACGTGACGTAGCTAAGAGCGCGCGAATGCACGATGATTCCCCGCCACTCGAGAAGCAGCGAGAATAATGCTACCGAGTTCTACAGAACTTCGGCGAAATTTCTACAACATTCGATTACGATATTTAAAGGCTAGGTAGCCACGAGGATATCGAGACAGTCAAGCGCGGTACGCGAAGTGATTTAGTAAGGCGATAGACATTCAAATAATAGTTGAAGTTTAGTTGAAGTGTTTGTTGTATTTAAAGTGGAATGAAGTTAAGTTTGATTATAAAGTGTAGTCAATTATTGGTCAACCCACGGGAAAAAACGTAACATTTGGTGTCAAAAATGGAATAATTGACTGAAAATTTTCGGTTATATAATGAAAACAATGAGCGTCGATTACGAAAAGAAAGGAAAAACGATTAGGCCGAAACGAAGATCGTGAATTACTACAAGATATTCTGGAAAAACAAGAGGAATATCGTAAATTATTAGTAAATATTCAGAAGAAACAAGAAAAAGACAATAAGATGTACCTTTATTTATTTGAAGATATGAAATCTTCCCAAGTGAGTAAAGGGAAGGTACAGGAATTGATACAGAAAGAATTTGAAACAGTATTTCACGTCGATGAGAAGTTTGATGGGGTTGAAAGGAAACGCAGATAGCCCCTCAAGAAGTCCATGCCTGGCATCCGAATGCATATTTTGCCAACGCCAGGAGGACAAGGATACCCAGCTACCAGAAGAAGAACTTCCCACCAGACGTGATGGCAGAGACTCCTTTATGGACAGCTCTGATAGGGAGATAAGCTCCCCTACCTCCCGTCGCTTCGGGTTCCCTCTGACCCGGAGGGTAGCAACCTGTAAGGGTCTCTTGTCCAGGGATGCGGACAGCCAATTTGAGGAATCACCTGACTATGGTGTGGTACGGTCGTTAATAGCCTCTGAGGGTGACACTACCTTCCTGACGAGTCAAGACATCATCGTAGCGCAGAAGGAGGATCCCGTCTTGAAAACTGTTCGAGAATGGATTGCCAAAGGAGTGAGGCCGGAATGGCAAGAGATTTCCGAGCACGGCCAGCAGGAAAAGGGTTACTGGCTCCAATGGGCATTCGAGATGACCTACTCACTCGGAAATGGGAAAGCCTGGATGGAAGAACTCACAGATTCCAGATGATCCTTTCTAAGACGTGTATCTCGAGTATCCTTGAACAGCTCCACGATGGTCGCACTGGAGGGCATTTCGGAGTAAAAAGAACTCTAGTGAGAGTGCGTGAGGGATACTATTGGGTCAATTGCCGTCGAGGCGTGGAAGGGTGGTGTAAGCGCTGTGACCTGTGCTCTTCGAGAAAGGGTCCGAAGATAAGGCAGAGGGGAAAGTTGAAGCAGTACCTTAGTGGGTGCCCTTTCGAGAGAATCGCAGTCGACAGTTTGGGACCACTCTCTATGACCACATCCGGAAACAGGTGCCTTATGGTTGTGATGGACTACTTTTCCAAATGGCCTGAAGTAGTAGCCTTATCCAACCAGGAGGCTAAAACGGTAGCCGAAGGCCTGTTGCAGAACGTAATTGCCAGACACGGATTACTCCAAGAACTACACTTGGATCAGGGCCGCAACTTCGAATCGGATTTATGGAAGGAAATGATGACTCTGTTACGAATAAAGAAGACAAGAACAACTGCTCTTCACCCACAATCCGATGGAATGGTCGAGAGGCATAATCGCACCAGCAATAACCACCCTCGATGTTTGTCTACGAAAACCAAAGAGACTGGAATAAATTGGTTCCTCTTTTCTCTTGGCATACAGGAGCTCCCAACATGACGCGACAGGTTACACACCATCCATTTTGTTAACTGGTAAGGAACTGAAGCTTTCGATAGATGTATTGTGTGGCAGTCCTTTCGGAAAGGTTTGTGTCCCAAGTTGCAGAGACCATGGCAAAGACCTTACTTGGTAACCAAAAAGATAAACGATTTGGTGTACATAATCCAATTGACACCCCGAAGCAAGACTAAAGTTGTCCACAGAGAGGCTGAGTCCTTACATGGGTCGTGATGTCCCCTCTTGGAATGTTGTTCGGTGCGAACAACCTCAGGGAAGGGGATAGTGTTTTAAATCATGTCCGAAAGAAAATAACGTCGGCCACCACTGGTAACCATAAACCAAACGTGACGTAGCTGAGAGCGTGGAAATATCCAATGTTACCTGCCGCTCGAGAAGCAGCAAGAAACATGCTACCAATGTCGATGGAACTTCGGCGAAAATTTTACGATGTTCCATCGCGATATTTAAACGCTGGCTGCAAGTGTATTCAGACAGTCAAGTACACAGTGAAGTGATCTAGTAAGGCGATAGACATTTAAATAATAGTTGACATTTTTGGTTGAAGTGTTTGTTGTATTTGAAGTAAAAAAAAGTTAAGTATGATTATTCAGTGTAGTCAATTATTGGTGAACCCACGAGAAAAAACGTAACAATATCATGGGTTCGTTGTTCTTTCTTCTAATTTTAACTGATATGTGTCCCTTTCCTTCAAATTTCAGTGCAAACCTTCACCAATGACAATGTACTTTTTTTGAGTGAGTTTTTTTAGTCTTGATTTATTGATGTGATATCCAAAAACTAATCCCATTCAGATCCATATTTTATATTCGACATGAGAGCGCAACAACCCTACTAGCAATTTTATATTTTATAATGGTTAATTGTTATTTTAACTGCGAATGAAATTTTATTGACGAATATATAGCCTAACATTTCGCTGGCGCGAGTAGCTAGTCTTTAGTCTACAACCTGAGTTCATCCCCAATAACTAGATATTACAGGTGCTAAAGCGTATTTATGTTTGATATGCTAATACCTGTACCTGGAATTGGTAAATTGTCATCGACATCCGTCGACCCTTTTCTACCTGCCGTCATGCTGTTTGCTATTCTTGAACTTCTTATATTGGGATTCCATATTCGGTTCAAATTATTCGTGTATTTGTTGATATCTGTTGCCTCCTATACCAGTCGGCTGTGGTATCCCTGATTGGGGGCAATGAGTTTCGTGTTTTCTAAGAGAATACTGTGGTTTCCTTCAATGAGTGGGTGCTCCGCCACAGCCGACTTGTCAGTTTGGCCTAGTCTGCAGTTTCTTTCATGCTCCTTCAGTTTCGTTCCCATGGATCTTTTGATAGTTCCGATGTATACTTTTCCACAAGTGCGCAGTATGCGATATACCCCTGCTGCTGATAGTAGGCCTCTTTTGTCTTAAAACGACCTGAGACTTTGTTGTATCTTCTTGGCGGGTTTGAAAACCGTTTTAATGTTGTGTTGCCAAGAGTTTTCCAATTCTGTCTGAGACCCTGAGGATATATGGTAGGTATGCACGTGCAACCATATAAGCCTTCTTCCCGTTTTGAATCGTGGAACTCTTCAGTTTCATGACCTTGTTGATTTCGGGTACACTGTATCCATTCGATCTCAAGGTCACTTGAATACGTTCCAGTTCTTCCTCTAGATGCTCTGGTTCACATATTCTTTCAGCCTGTTCAGTTAGAGTAGAGATGACTCCTCTCTTTTGACTAGGACGATGGTTTGATAGTGCGTGCAGGTATCTATCCGTGTGGGTTTTCGGTACACTATGTGGGTTAGTCTAAAACCACGTCATTTGATAAGTACATCTAGGAATGCTATCTGCTGGTCCTGTTCAGTCTTCATATTGAGCTTGATGCTGGGATTTTGAGCGTTCAAGTAGTCTAGGAAAAGATTTAGAGCGTCCCTTCCATATTTCCAGATGACGAAGGTGTCTCCCACGTAACTTCGCCACAATATCGGTTTCAATTCACAGGAGTCGACTGATTTCGCTTCAAAATGTTCCGCAAAGTAGTTGGCTATCACTAGGCTAAGTAGGCTTTTCATCGCCACGCCATCTAGTTGCTCATAAGTTACCCATCCACTGAAAGAAACTTCCCGTGAGACATGCTCTGAACAGTTCGACAATATCACTCGGAAACAAGTAGGCTAGCCCCCTCAGAAATTCTTCCAGTGGGAGTGGGACATTGATAAACAAGAAGAAAACATCGAAGCTGACCAGAATAACTGTCGGCGCCAGAGTTAAGTCCCTAATTTCACCACTGAAATCTGTAGAATCCTTGACGTAGCAGTGTGTCTTTCCCACAAGAGGCTGGAGGAGTAGGGCCAGATGCTTCGCCAGGTGGTAGATCGGTGAGCCTGGGACACTGACTATTTATTGGTCTCAGTGGTATGTTGGAAGACCATTGAGCCTGGGTGGAACGGCTTCAGTTCTGAGAATGGTTATATGTACAGTTTCCGACAATAAGGAAGATTAAATGATTTTGTTAACGTTCCTCAAGCTTGATTGTGTTGGGTCCCGTTTAAGTTTACAGTGGTTTGAAGGGTCTAGTAGTTTTTCAATTTTGCTGTTAGATTCATCAGTTTTCAGAAGCATCATGACATTTCCCTTGTCCGCTGGAAGAGCCGTGATACTCTCATTAGAATTCAAGCTCTTTAAGGCTACAATCTCTCTTTTTGGGGGTCTCATTTTGGCGGTCGTGCCTTGCTCAGAATATTTGCTGTAGTGTCCGACCGAAACTGGTTTTTATGACCGAAACTGTATTTCAGCAATGGTCTTAGTTTCGGCCGAAACCGAAACTTCCTTATAAGGAAAAGAGAAATGAAAATTTCTATGTTTTTCACCACTTTTAATTGTAACTAACGTTACTGCAGTTTCGTCCTATATGGACATTCTCAAACTAATACAATAAACTCTAATACTTGTATTGTAACTAACATTACTTCAGTTTCGTAGACATGTCACCAATTAAAAACTAACAAAGAGAAAGGTTGAAGCCTTTTTAATAATCCCACTTTTGTACTTATAAAAACGTTATTTGTGCTTTAAAAATTGTTATTTTAACTGCGAATGAAATTGTATTGACGAATATATGGCCTGACGTTTCGCTGGCGCGAGTAGCTAGTCTTTAGATGTTTATACAACCTGAGTTCATCTCCGATAACTAGATATTACAGGTGCTTAAGCGTATTTATGTTTGATGTGCTAATACCTGTACCTGGAATTGGTAAATTGTCCATAACATCCGTCGACCCTTTTCTACCTGCCGTCATGCTGTTTGCTATTATTGAACTTCTTATATTGGGATTCCATATTCGGTTCAAATTATTCGTGTGTTTGTTGATTTCTGTTGCCTCCCATACCAGTCGGCTGTAGTATTCCTGGTTGGGGGCAATGAGTTTCGTGTTTTCTAACAGAATCCTGTGGTTTCCTTCACTGAGTGGGTGCTCCGCTACAGCCGACTTGTCAGTTTGGCCTAGTCTGCAGTTTCTTTCACCCTCCTTCAGTCTTGTTCCCATGGATCTTTTGGTAGTTCCGATGTATACCTTTCCACAAGTGCACAGTATGCGATATACCCCTGCTGCTGATAGTAGGACTCTTTTGTCTTAAACCGACCTGAAACTTTGTTTTATCTTCTTGGCCGGTTTGAAAACCGTTTTAATGATGTGTTTCTAAGAGTTTTCCAATTCTGTCTGTGACCCTAGGGATATATGGTAGGTATGCACGTGCAACCATATAAACAATTAAATCATAATCCAAGTTATCAGCTGTCTAAAATATTTTTGATTTTATTTTATTCACCATTTTCATCTGTGACATAAAAAAGTGTTCTTATAATATATTAGTGGCTGTAATTATAAATTGGTTCCTTTTGTGAATTTACAGACAATCGAATGGCTGTTACATAGAGAACTGCTTGTTATGTGTCAAGCAATTCAAGTAACAAAGTTGATTGGAACAATTTTTTAAAGAAATGCTGAGAAATGAATCAATATGCATTCATAAAAAAATATATTTCCGTACAAAAATATATTTCAGTACAAAAATATTTTATTTTAGGAAACTCAACATATCACAATTAAACAACCAGCAAGCTATACAATAATCATTATATGAAAATATTGAATATTTTGAAACACACTTAGTGGTAATATCATTATATTAATAGTGATGAATCACCAGTACATGAAAGTCACAAAATAGTTTTCAGAAGCAATGACTAGAAGATAACAAAGATTATTTTGTAATTCTTTGACATAATACTCAGTTATTGGAATTATTGTACAAAACTCTTCAAAGCTACCAATCACTGGTAGTTAACAATCGTCGGACATAATCAACTTGTTGGACATCCCTGGCAGTTTGAATTCTTCGATATAAAACAGGACAGTCTAGAGACACACATTTGATCTCTGTTGAACCAGAAGTACACGAGTGACAGACCTAAAAATAGTAATGAGCGTGAGTTATGTACTCGTATAATTTGATTTGATTCAAGTGATGTAAAAATGATTCAGAGTTGTGCATTTGTTGGCAAACTCATCTTCAGGTCAGATATTACAGCTTTTCTCAAATTTAATAATCAAAAAATTACATGTTGCATATTTATGCTATAGATTTTGCTGCATTATGACTATTTATTTAATTTTTCTGTTTTCCAAACTCCTGGTATATTCAAATTATTTATACACTGACCTGGTACTTGATGAAAATTATTAACACTATCCATGATAATAATTATGCAATTTTCACAAATATTTCTTTGAAGTGATGTGAATCATATCAGATAAATATTTTATTTTGTGCAATGTATTTTTTTTTCTATATTGGCTAATCTGTATATTTATCATTAATGTCAGCTGTTATCTGTTGATGATGTTTGCATTGTCCATCGTTGAGTTAACGAAAAAACAGTCTGAAAGTAGTTTTTTTTCTAACTTGGCTACTCTGGCTACAATAGAAAAGCATTTCTGTTCGAATAACAACAAATTCATTAAAAAAAACTTTTTCAACTTTTTCTCACCAAATTCATGTTTACAAAGTTATTTTCCCACAGCCTCATTTTTTCCATTAGAGTAATGACAGTTTTTTGAGGGTTGCAACAGCAGTTCTGACATATTCCCATTTGAGTTTGTTCCCCGCAACAAGCACACATGTATGTTGAAAAATATTGGGAAATGGTGCTTTTCTTTTTTGGAGACACTGAGCTACTGAGGTATTGAGTTACTTTCCTGGGCATCTGATTGAACCTGAAAACAATTTCAAAACGAATGCTATATAAATATAATGAATATAGTTTTTTGAAAATTATAGATCATAAAATTAGCAATGTGAGAAGAATCAAAAATATTATAAACAGAATCCAAAAAATAATGGAGAATTTTTTTTATTATAATTGTTTGGCCACTTTTTGTGATTGCATTTCCAACCAATGTCTTAACTGTAAAAGTCTTTTTTTCATTTTATGGTCGTTTTCGCGTTATTCTGAAACTATTGAACATCACACAGAAATTTTTCAATGAATAGTGAGTTTTCTTTGAACATTTCATATTCCGAGATTACTTTTAACCAGTTTTGTTTCTAGTATGGATCTAGATACTTTATTACACTCCTGAAAATATATTTCCTTGTTTGATTAATGCGATGTTGCATCAATATTATTTGAGGTTGATTTTCACGTAATTTCGATCATCTTTCGAACCTGTGTTGAATACATCAATAGCGTTTGCCAGTTAAATCAACAATAAGTGAATCTATTCACCTTGAAAAATACAAGTATTATTTATTCTGAATTCAAAAATGAAGAAACACTGATGATGAATTTGAAAGGTTAATAATATGTTGAAATTATCACTTGTACATTCTATGTACTTTGCAATTCATCCTGTAATTCCATCTATTCAATTTTTCTTAATTTTTTGAATACATTTTCAATCATCCTGCAAAGCATCACTACTGTTGGTTTGTAGCATCATAAGTTTTTATTTGAGATAACCGCACAAAAGTCCAGTAGATTCATTTTTTCAAATCTGGTAGTTTATGCTTCTGGACCTCTTATTTTAACTTATGAATTAGAAAATATTTGATTTAAATAATATGTCGAATTCAAATGTATTTTGGTTATGGTTGTCATAAATAAAATAGTATAATTTAAAGTCCACCAAGTACACCAGATGTTCAAGGAAAAACGATTTGGATGTCTAACCATTACCAGAATTTGTTTAATCTTCTTAATTTTTTTTTGCACTGCTGGATATTTATTATCATGCTATATTCGTTTCTTTATTATTTATTGACGGTATTTTTTTATATATTGCATTAATAATCAATTATAATATAATCCCAAATCGTCTGTTCCACGATTGTACTTCCACCGACAACGGGTAGTCCGTGGACTTTTGAGTTTGGAGTGTCTATATGACAGAATGGTACTGGATGTACCCTGTAAAGTCGTCAGGAGTTCGAATCCCTTTCTCTACATAGTTACCGACCATGAGAGAGCAGGAATTGGAGCATTTCTCTTTAGGGCAGCTCTCCGAGCAGCTGATGAATTTGGATTAGTTTTCGACACTGAACGAGGTGACCACAACTCTGTCACCGAGTTGGAACCCGTTCAGCAAAAGGCTCATATAAAAGCCGCCGAGATCACCTCAATTCTGCGACAACACAAAGATAAGCCAATGCATGGAGTCTTCTTCAGTAACATTAAAGACCTTGGCTTAACAAAGCGCCTGACTTTCGCTTTCCTCAGGTCGAGTGAGCTGAAATCGAAAACTGAGTGGTTCATCATGGCCAGGATGGTGTCTTCAACACCTTAGTCTACCGCAGTCACGTGATGGGTATAGAGGTTTCTGACACAAGGTGCAGGGCCTGCCGCGAGGCGTCCGAGACCCTAATGCACTTGCTGTCAGCATGTCCAGCATATCCGGTCTCGGCCTATATTCATCGACATAATGCGGCCCTACCATATACGGCACTCTTACGGTATTGACGAGACACTAGTGTTGCCCTACGCTCCGGGGGATATTGAATCCGTTGTGGGGAACGAGAAGTCCCAAATTCATTGGAACTATTCGTTCCCCACCCTCAGGCTCATACAAGCTAATAAGCCTGATGTAGTCCTTCTCGACCACCAGAACAAGACCCCGCAGACTCTATCCAGACCACTCTGTCAAGATGGTTGTTCTGATTATTGGAGTCCTTGGTGGAATGATGCCCTCTCTACTCTCGAATCTTAAAATCATACCGGCTTGCCGCACTAAGGCATAAATCTTAGTCGGACAGATGCAGAAGGCTGTCATTCTTGACTCACTTCGCTTGCTCAGGGCACATGATTTTCGAACCCAATGATCACTTACCCCACGGTGTGGGGAGTGGTCGTTGGTTGATAATGCTGGCGCGCCCTCCTGAATATATCGGGGCATCAGGGGATAGTGTATATGTGGTAAGTCAACAATGATTAATTAAATGAAATAAGAAAAAAAGCAAACACACATCTTACAGTACGTCATTTATTAGATAAAAAAATTAAAATTAATATCTGCATATACATAGATTTACACATTTGCCAACTTACATATAGACATATAAAATGATAATTTAAAATGTGGCAATTTTGCTTGCCTCAGTCATATATTATTATATGAAATCGCCAGTCAGAACACTGATACCAAAGCAAAAACCTATAAGTGAAACATTACACCGATTAAAAATCTCATTATTCTTCTATGAAAGTATACTCTAAATATTCTTTATGGCTGTAGTAACATTTGTCCAGTAGTAAGCTTTTAACTTTCTTACTGAACGTAGTTTCAGAATTCAACCTCTTTATAATGAAGATTTTTTGAAATAGTCATCCTTATGCGAAGGGACCCTCAGAACAGTAGTGTGATGAGTATCCTGACCCTGAATGCTCAATTTTGTTATGCATAAGTCAAGTTTTTACACTAGGTGAGATTCTCATCTAAAACGGTTTCAAAAAAAATCACTTCTTTGGATATTTTTAGGTCAATACCATTCAATCCTGAATAAAAGACATTTTTTGTGGAGGAAATCAGAGTTTTTTTGTCAACCTTCTTCGGTTATTTTCACCTTCCACATCAGAAACGTTAAGATAAGTATCTGTATAATTTCTCGGCTGTTTTTTTGATAGGCAAAATTATAGAATATAAGAGTTACTGATGAATCCAACATTTTTCTTTGTGAAAAATACTTTGAATTTCCGAGAGTAACTTATTGAGATGAACTGAAAAGTAGATTCATATTATTGTTATCCAATTACAGTTCTAAAAGATCATATAAAATATCATCAAAGATACTAATACGTTTTTGTTCGGTCTTAGTATTGACATAATTCAAAACCAATAAAAGTTATGAAAAAAAGATGTAAAATATAGATTCAAACCTGTTTTCTCTTTGCTCTTCTGATACTAAGAATCCCTGTTTTAAAGCTTTTAAAACTCCTCAAATTTTATGTACGAATTTTCAACAAGTTTGATTAAGTTCATCATATATTTTTGGGGGGCGCTTGGTCCTGATGCCAACCTTTTGTTTAATACCGCTGTAATAATTGCCATTGCGATGGTTAACGTGAAATATAATTTTATTCATAGAGATCGAGGTCGATCACCTGGTTCTTCGGTGTCAATATTTTTCCAGTTGAAAAAGCGCTTGAACTACTTTATGACTGTCGTACCTTCGAGCGTCGTTTTGGTTCAAGTTGGGCTAGACTAAACAAATAAATATATTACATTCTGCCGATGATCATACGCTTGGGAAGGTTAAAAATGCTGAGATGAGGTTTTTGTGGCTAGCGTTGCTGACGCGAAGGCTTGGGAGTTTTTTGGGAGTCACAAAAAGGTCGGTCACCAAAGCTCGTCGAGACGAGATTTAAGGGAAATCGGTAGTGAAATTGTAAGTCAGTATTGGGTACAGGGGAGTTTAAAATAAAAGTGTTGGTGTTGAAGACACACCGGGTCAACGGAACCTATGGTTGACCATGAACCACCCAAAGAGGCGTTATGTGAGTGTTTGCTTTTTTTTACTATCCCGTTGATATTGAGAGAGAGTTCACATATTATTTTGTCTGAGTTCACTTCCTATTTGCAAAGAGGTTATATATTGTTATTGAGTTCATATTACAATTACACAAAAGGGAGAAAATTTTAAGTTATTCACCACTCTCCCTGAAGTAAAAGTAAAACTAAAAGTATTTTGTACTGAGATGGTGCGTTTGAAGTTGTTTAATAGGTTGAAAATTGGCGACATTTCCTTTGTTTTTTTTATTTTATATAATTTAACATTTTCTTTTTATATGAGACTTTACACGTTGTTTTTTTTATTATTTTGTCCATGGAGTCGTAGTTTTACTCATTATACATTATATTTGAAACCTTGGACTTTCATTTTCTCTTGGGCTGAGAAAAATACCATCCTCGTAGAGTAAGATGAAGTTGAAAGAATCAAGCTATCGAGCATTTTAACTAAGATTAAAATTCAGTTCTGGAACCATATAATAAGAGAGAATATAATAGGTATACCAAATGACCAGATTTCAAAAAGACCGGCCTTTATGCGATTGCCTAACATCCAAATTTTGATGTGGAGAAATCTGCATCTGGTGACAGCAGCTGCCAAATTTTATTTAAATAAAACAAACACGGCAATAGCGAGAGAGCTACCAAGGATTGATAGACAGTTATTTCACTGGTGACTTATATATAAAAAAACCCGTAGATGTTACACTAGGGACAGCTAAGTGGGATTTCGCGAGGATTTCTCGGTTAAGAAATCAAATTCCACAATTCAGACCTTTTTAATTTTTATACGTTATAACACTGTTGACAGAAGAGGATAATACCATAGTTAGTACACCGCATATGTTCAATACATATCAATTTAATTCCACATATAATATAATTCCACATATAGTGAGAGATTTTTTATTTAATGTTAACATCTTGAATAAGTATAAATAAAATTTTACTCACCAAGTATGTAGGTCAGCTCCAATCAAATTGAAGCATCTGTTTATTGGTGGTATTATAACCCTAGTAATGTAATAAAGAGCGTTAGGTCTCAAGGAGCTATCGTTGAGTAAATCCCGAGGACTTCGCACTAACCTAATCAGAGGTAATCCAGGAGGACCATTTATTATAACATATGGCACACGTTCACCGCTTCTTGGTTCATTTCGCTTGTCCACTGCAGTCCATTTCCTACAAGTATATAATTCAATACAGATTTCGAGAGATACATTGGTCGAGCTGAAGATTTCTTTACTTGTTGAGTTGAGGAAAGTATCAGTACAAAAAGTGTGATACCCTTTAACATATAGGGTGTTCCAAAAGCTCCAGAACGAGAAACAACAAAAAATGTAAATAATCCTACAAAAGGTATCTAAACAAGCCTTAAGAGTTGAAGAAGTAACCAAGCGGCCCAAACGATGTGGCAGCGATATGATGTTCCTCAGTACCTCATGTTGCTAAAACGTAACATTAATTGAAAACTTATTTGGGTTTGTCAATTATCCAAACTGGTAGGCAGGTAGACGTGGTTCCTTGGAAGAGCCCACTAGATAACCTGATATGATGCCTTTGGATGTTCTTGATGGTATACATGACATCCAAAGTGTACGGTACAACCGCAGTTCGTTTCAGATCTCGTGGATAGAAAAAGAAGTACTTGCAAGAAATTACCTAGGAGAATTTCATAATGTTAGAGTTATACGTTGGATATCTAATGTTAACTTTACAGATCAATGTCCCCCACTTTTTAATCGTCTTTCTTTCTTCCTTCCTTCGGCTTCTATATACGAAACATTGATTGAAATTAATAAAAATAAATCAAGCTACATTTTACAATCGCAACAACATGAATATCTAATGAGATCAGGAAATCTGATAAGAACTGAGAAATTAAGACTAAGCACTCCACAGAAAAATTCATTGAATTTGAAATTCTATAATAAATTACCATGTCACATAAAACAACTCAGTTTCTACTGTTTCAAGCAAAAACTGAAAGCATTTTTTTCACTATTTTTATTCCACAAATGAATATTATGTTACACAACATAGATAATTCGTGTGAATTCGAGTGAGTAACGATTGTTCTCATTTTTAACATTAATTGTTTGATGTTTGATTGTATAATTGTATTTATTATTGTGTACATTGTTCTGTTATACAAGCATTGTGATAGAGTTCTATTTATATCTATATATGACGATATATTCATAACTATTGTGTTTTGACTTGCTACAAACATTTGTTCAAATGTATCACGTAGCCAATTAACTATTCTGTTCTATCCCATCCAATACTCGTTCACAACATACTCGCATTTACAGTACTATGATCAAAAAAACGAAACTATCAGAATTACAGTGACTCAATTATCTCTAACAAAATTCAGATTGACTGACTCGTGTTTCTTCTTGCAACGAAAACCTTTACTTGAGTCCAAATGAGTTCAATGAGATTAAGTTCGCAATGATAAGGAGGCGGACGCAGAATCATGCCATGTTGTCGACTATATATTCCGTGAAACGAACTTCATTTGAACATACTATGGACAATAATTCTTTTTTAGTCATACTTCCATCAAATGATATGTTTTTTGTCTAAGCCACTAAATGATATCCGCTTTTCTCCATGTATTAGTTGGTATTATTTCAACTTTTCTGGAATCATAACTTGCATTATCCATCACAATCACAGAGGTCTAACATTCACTCAAAATATTTTTCAAAGACAAAGCCAATCATGTCTTCAGAGTAATCGCCAAAATACTTCGACTCAAACATCAATAAACAGCCTTAAACAAAACCATCAATACTTCCAAAATGGTTAATAATCAATCGTTTTTCTTTTCCAGAAGGCGACTTTAATCCGGTAGACCAGCCTTCTAAAAATGCTTGACAAGACCTGGTAATGTTTTTTTGTCATGCCACATCTTTCCATTGGTATATCCTTCGTTAAGACAAGTTTCGGCTAGATCTATTCTCACGTATAAACTCTCTTATCTGCCGCAGGTAATGTTTTTTCTGTTTTGTTTTTCACAGACAATTCACAACATAATTTTTTCTTTCATTCTTGAATTTATATATCGATGATTTTGAAACTTCCGTCGTTTGCGAACACATTTCCACAAGAGTATCAACAATATACAAAGGATTTTGGTGTGCAAGAGCGTCATATACAATTAGAATAATAAACTTTTTCTTAACAGTAAAAGCACATTTGCTTAACAGTGAAAGCACATTTGCTCAACAGAAAAAGCATATTTGCTCGTTCGTTTTACTGGAGAGAAAGCAGTAATTTCAATTCTGCTTTTTCATTAATTCATATTTGTCATGTTCGGATTCAATCATGACGTCATCCTCTTTTCCACCGAAAATTGAAAATATCTCAGTTAGGCCTGATTTAATCAGATAAGCTGTGCAGATATGCAATACATTAAAAAATGCTTTTCATAGCAGGTATTGAAAATTTTAATCGAAATTCAAAAGTAAAAACAACTTTGGATGTTTAATAAAAAATCCATTAATTAATAATAATAAACTTTATCAACAAGAAAGTTTATAACTAGGGGTAAACTTTAAATAGTGATTAAATAAATTATTTCAATACTTACACATCAATTAAATGTACAGCACATATATACATGAATGCATACACACATACAAATATATACATAATTGAATTATAATTGTAATATTAAAAAAAAAGTAATGTGGAAATCAGAATTTTAATTATTCCGAATTGAATTTGATTTTTTTATTTATTTTTAGTTTCTTTGGAAGATTATTATATATTTTAACTCCTAAATAAAATATTGACTTCTTCCCAAATTTTGAGCGATATGATTCAACTAGTAGTTTTTTGACTTGTCTTGTATTATAATCATGGATGGTATTCATTTGATTGAAATCCACATTCAAATGTTTATTTTTTCAACAGAATGAATGAAACAAAAAATTTTCAATTGAAAAATGGACTAAACATCTAAAAGATCACGTGGTATATATGAATTTGACTTAAGTTCAAGATATGGTAATTTAAATATACGTTTTATTATTTTATTTTGCAGTCTCTTGAGAGGATTTATTATTGATGAATTAGCTGTTCCCCAAATTGAAATTAAATATTGTAGATTCGAATATACCAAACAGAAATATATACATTTGAGATATTTTAACAGAATGAAATTTCCAACCCTAAATAATATTCCTAAAATTGGTCCGATTTTCTTTTCACCGATGTTCCATTCACCATAAAGATATAACTTTGAAGTCTTTTGAGATTTGTTATATCAAATCATACAACATTTTTCACTTTCTAACTAACTCGATTAAGTACGCCTATGGAACAGCATTTTGAAAATGATTGATTACTCTGCTTCTTAAGAAATAGACTATAAAATCCTAATTGCTCTACTAAATCCAGTTTATATTATACAAGATCAGAGGTCAGGAAGGCAATTTTTTTGTAGCTCTATAATACTATATACTATTATGGTACAAAGTATTTTCAAATTTGCAAACGTGCAAGTTTAGTGGAGTTATGATGAAAAAAGTTCTACTAACTCAACCTATATGTGAAAGTTGATTCGAGTCTATTTGTAGGATTTTTGTATTTCACTGCCTACAGCCCGACTCATGTTCTATGAATCACACGTTAAAACGTAAGACCTCGTTAATTCTTGGCTCGCACAAGTTTGGATTTCTGAGGGTTATTTTTCATGAAGGTGCGACACTGGTTAACAAATTTTAATAGATTTCTCAACAGGATCATAAAGTTTTTGAAATGGATATTGCTATCTGATATGATATCCAACAAATTAATTGACACAAATGGAAGAATTGTGTGTTCCTGTGTTGGGTTCTGCCCTTTGTTGAGTTGAAAGATTCTTATAATGAACTTTGTTATTTCTCAAATAGTTGCAATTTCAAAGAACTACAAGAGCATCGTTGCTTAAACTGATATAAGCGATACAACTACACCGATCACTATTTCTACTCAATGTTTATCTAATTTGCTTATAGTACCTGGTCAGTTCCAAGGCTGGCACACATGCTCCTGGTCGATACCCTGCTGCACCTCGATATTCTTTGGCGAAAGTCAAATCCTGAATACTGGCCCGACCAGAAAAAATTTTGTTGAACTGTTTCAGAACATATTTTTTCACCAAGCTAACATCTTTGGTTTCAAAAAGGAGACGCAGACATTTTTCGAGCATCTAGAAATAAATTATTTAAATCATGATTATAATGCAATCAGTAAAATTCATGAAACCTTGCTGACAGCTGGACAACCATCTCTTCTAACAGTTTCAATTCCCTTCGCTTCATATATTGGTTCTTTCTGATCGATGCTCTCAAACATATAACCTACGTACCGTTTCTTGGTTTGTAAAATACAGGGTTGATAGACCTTCTCGAGTTTGAGCTTCATAGGATCTGGATTGGCCTTTGTAACGGCATCGGCAATTTGTTTGCCAACTTCGAATGCCCGTGCCCTACTTTGTCCTGGTACCAGCACAAATAAGGAGTCAGTATCACCGTAGACTACCTTTGCGCCCCACTCGGGAGTACTATCAACCATTTCAATAGCTCTTTGGAGGGTCTCTCTTCCTAGATTTTATGTTCATTCATGTTATTTTCTATAAATTCACATATGGAAAGATTCAAATTGTTACCTTTACTTACTACACTATCTCCAACTTCGACAGATGGCATCCTTCCACTAAAGTTTGCTGCAGTATACCCATAAGTAACGTTAGCAATGAGTTTGAGTCCAAGTTGCCTACTGTGTAAAACTTTCTGCAAAATTTTATCTTCCTTATTTTCCTTCATTGAATTTTTCACCATGAGCCTAGTATCCAATATTTCTCGTAACATCCTTGGCATTATTCCATCTCGAACCTTTTTCTTCACAAATCCTACCCCACACGGTGAAAAATTCAGTGAATCTTTTTCAAGTAATTTCCTCAATAACTTCCTCGAAATTTTCAATTGTGTAGCCCCAAATTCGAAAGGTCCATTCTTTCCCAAACTTTGAACTCTGCCAATGCACGTTGTGAAACAGTAGTTATAAGCAATTATTATTGATGGGTACAGGCTCTGGAAGTCCAGAACTATCACAGGGTCATTATAGAGTTTGGATTCTGGTTCTAATACGAGGGATATAAACTCAGGAGCTTTCATTTGAGCTCTCTGTTGTACGTTAGGAGAAACAGGAATGAAATTCAAAGGTTTTGCTAGCCTGAGCATCATTGATTCTACCCTAAATTGTGATCCTCTTGATAGGACTTCAAAGAACTGAATGCCAAATAACCTAGAAATGAAATCAAGTATATGACGGTGTTCTATTCAATAACTAGATGGTTTTGAGAATCTTTGTGAAAACATATTTGTAGAGAGTTAACTGCACTCTACGCATTTGAATTATGTATATCATTTGAAGAAATACCATTTTGCTAATAAGTCTGACATTGATTATATAGGGTCTTTCATTAAGCGTTTCCTATCTTTAAATCTAAATAAAACAAAGTGTGTGTAAGATATTACGGAATATTTTATTCGTTTGAAAAATCTGTTTAAAAATCTGTTTTTCCGTTAACCAGCTGTCGCACCCCTACGAACGACAACCCTCAGAAGTCGAAACTTGTGCTAGCTAAGGATTAACGAGGTCTTACCTTTTAACGTGTGATTACTAACACGGTTTGAAAGACCTATTGATGCAATGATGTGTGGAATATAACATCGTTCAAATGCCCGCCACGGCTTTTCTTTGTGGAGCGTTTCCGAAACGTCCAATTTTCCATGACATTGGCGCATAAATCAGGCTGAATTTGACCGATGAGGACCGCTTTGGTTTATGGCTTATTCACATACGCCTGCGACTTAAGAAAACCCCGTAAGAAAAAGACTAACAGGGATCAAATCGCACGATTTCGATGGCCAGTTCACATCACCTCCACGTGAGATGACCATGCCCTCAAATCGCTCTTGCAGAATATCCAATGTGGCATGAGCTGTGTGGCACCTAGCGTCGTCCTGGTAAAACTACATGTCGTTCTGTCGTTAGTGTCCAAATCATCCAATTCAGGCCAAAAGAAGTGAGTAATCATCGACCTATAGTGCTGGCCTGGCCAAAGTCGTTCTCAAAGAAATATGGACCAATGACGTCGCTATCCTAAAATTCACACCAAATAGTTACTTTTTCGGAGTGCATTGGACGGTCTTGGATCTCATGTGAATTGGCATCGTCCCAATTTGATAATTTTCTTTGTTCACGTACCCAGGGTCAGTTGACGTACATTAGGGTCAGTTGATAACTGGTCCAGAGCTCATTTAGCGAACACTCGTCGTTGTCTATGGTCGTTTACCTTCAGTTCCTGGGTCAGTTAAATATTGTACGGTGCAGGGACAAGTCACGGCGCAAAATTCGCCAAGTTGTGGTCTGCGGAAGGCCGAGTTGTTGGTCGAGGGTGTTGGTCGATCGTTTACTGATCCAGTGGATTACAATTTATTTATTGCGAATAGTCTTCTCGGTAGGATGATTATAACGACCTAAAATAGGCGAAGCGCGCGGTACGTTGCCCGAACTGGACACCCATTTTGTTAAAATTATTTCATTATTTTCAGGGGTCGTTGAATGCTACCAGTCCATGGTAATTTGGCAAAACTGACAAATAATTGGACAGATGTAGCTTCAACAAAATGGCCGTTATCAATTGTCAAAGTTCGGAAGTCCCTGTTAGAAGACCCTAAATAAGCATCAGATATTGGTTACTTCAATGAATTACAAACAAAACATTTAACATCTTATAGAGTAGTAAACAATAAGCAATATTAAATTATGCTCATGTCTTCTGTCTTTTGTACAAAAACTGAAATTGATACTTATAGATAAATATCTCTATCATGTCAGAGAATTCTCTCAATGTGAGTTTTTGTTCATTAATAATTCACGATTGTAATTCATACAAATTTAGGGTACTATACTTGTTATCTATTTCTTTTCTAGTGTCGCCTTATATCATCTTGAATATTTTTACCCCACAAAGGTTTGATGATACATAATCTCGATATACTTGGAGAACGTGCTACCACTGAATCATGTCCCTTTAAAGGACATAACAAACCAATTATGACAGTCTTCCACAATCGACTGTCCAAGATTTCTGTCATTTTGAGCTGAGCCCTGTAATCAGAACAACCATTTGAATTGTGTCAAATCTACTTTTCAAGTTTGTTGGTCGTGATCTACGACTACGGGAAACTTCATCAAAGGCAATAAGGCAATGAAAGAAGTGCTTGAATTGATCTCTCAGCAAATACTACATTCTCTAGTTTCATTCCAGTGGTGATGGTTGATGGTCCATTGCCCCATTGTCTTTGAAAAAATGAAGCGCAGAAATAGACGAAACGTCAGACAAGGAGACATCAAAGTTACCGTGACGTTTGGAAGTACCCTGCCAGAAAAAAGCCAACAAGAAAAAAATTCAAGACACCACAAGAGGATAAGATTCATACATGCATGCTATGAGAAAGAATGCATCACACCAGGAAGCCCTTGATGACATAGAGCTGGTGAACCACAGCATCAAATCAGAAAAGTCTGTGCACTAGGACGATTAGGACAAAATTGACCATCTCACGAAAGAAACGATGGAAACCACAAAATTTACCATTATCAAACGGCATATAAAGTGTGATAGTCTAAACTCTAAACTCTGAGGAAGATTCAGAAAAATGTTTCGTCCCAGTATGGCAGGAAAACAGTGGTGAACCTTTTTGATCGGACAGAAAACGAGTTCAGCATAGTCGCCAAAAGTGAAAACTTCGCCACAACTCCAGTTAAGGGACTCGTCCTCAGCTTTTAAACGTCCAAGATATTAAAACGTTCAAAACCACCCACGGCCAATACAAGGGAAAAAGAGAGGCCTTTAGTACTGCCTCTAGGCAAAGGAAACCTGTAATGAACAGTGAATACAAGGAGAAAATCACCACCTCATATCTGAACTCCCTTAACAGAAAAACGCATAGGTTAACCTGATAGTCTCCCCAAAAAAACGCAATCATCTGAAAAATAACTTCAAAGATTAGGTATAATGCAGCCAAAGCAACTCCAAAGGAGTATGTCAATTGAAAAGTGTTCTTGTCCTATCAGACAGGATTGGCAAGCAAAATCCTGGCATGAAATTGATAATCAGGCCAACAAATACCATCAGAAAAAGTACAAGGTTTGCCGTGGTCAGTCTACACTGGAATCATAAAGAGAAGTTTACCCGTCTCTCTGAATACAAGAGAAATTATCGCCTGGTGCATACTGAAGCAATACTCATGTTATCTCGTGTGAGGAGACCTAACGAAAAGTTAGAAAGCACAAATACTACCTAAGATCCCAAATATATAGAGAGGTGATAGAAATTCAAAAACACAACAATTTCAACCGAAAGGAAAAGGAAATTTACATGAATTAAGTCTAGCTACCTGCATTAAATCACACTTGTAAAGAAAGTAATTTAATTCAACCGATAGCTACCATCAATGGAATAAAACCAAAAACTCAAACCTTGAATGTAGTACCTGCTGGACAACCTGAGTATTTTGTCTGTTACCTCATCACCTATGATAAAGTCTACTAGGTTTTTCGACATTAGAAAAATCTCAGTTTGGGCTCCACCACCTCTCGATGATCCTGTCAAACAAGGCAACAGGACAATTTTAGTTTCAGCCACTGATGATTCCAACTAACTGGAGTTGACCCAGTTTTTGCACTAATTGCTCAGCTAAGTAACCATCTCAAGTGAATCTTTCGCTGAATTACAAATATTCTTCCATTCGATGGGAAATTCACAGAGAAAGAAAGAGGACGATTTTAAAATGATTAAATTATAATGTAAGCAGTTCTAACTAAAATTATTAACGGAAAAAGATACAAATGATGCTATCTTCTGTTTTTTATATGAGATTTACTCTGGATTGAATGCTGATGAAGTAGCTGCCGCAATTTTTTGCGATATTTCAAAGGCATTTAATAGTGTCAATCATAAAATTTTTACTAAAAAAACTTCATAAATATGGATGTAGAGGTGTAACGAACACTTGGTTCGAATCGTACCTTTCAGCTCGGAGTCAAATGGTGAGGACAACGGAACTCTCAGAGAACAGGACCATTGAATCTGGTGTACCACAGATTATGTGTTAGACCCCATTCTCTCTATTCGCCGATGATACTACAATATTGTGGAAAGAAAAAACTCAGTGGAGCTAAATAAAATAATATCATCCGACTTGAAGAAGGTGAAGAGCTGGTGAAAATTTACTCTCTCTCTCTCAATCCATCCAAAACAACGAATATAATATCATTCAAATATTCGCTCGATGAAATTTCAATAGACGCTGCTATATAAATAAATTAAACACACAATTTCTCGGTGTAGTTATTGATAATAGGCTGAAATTTGATGAACATCTTAAACAACAAGAGTAAGATCTCCTCCAGATGTTATGCAGTTAGAGTGGTTTCAAATGAGTTGGGTTTCCATATCGCAAAGACGGTTTATCATGCACTTATTGAAACTCGACTACCTTATGGAAAACCTTTTTGGGGAGCATGCAACTCATACCTTCTCTCTTCTCACTAAGATGTCTCTGTAATGTCAAACCCAGAGAATCGTGCAGGAACTTGTTCACTGCCAATAAAATTTCAACAGTCATCGCACTTTTTATCTTAGAGACGGTTTGCCTAATTTATAAACATAAATCAAAGTTCAACTTTGCTTCTACTCCTTATGCTACTCGTAATAGCAATTATACCTTTAAACTTCCCATCCCAACTTCGAATTTAATCAAGAATTCCATATACCTAAATGGTGGTAAGTTATTCAATCATTTACCACAAGAAATGAGATCTGCAAATCTAGCAACATTCATTTCAAAAAGGTGGTGAAGAACCTACTTGTTGATAGACCCTATTACAGTTTGGAAGAGTATTTTAGCGAATCTTTTTACCATTTTTTAGCAATATATTATCAATTTATCGATACATTTTGAGAACTTTTTTCATAATTATATTTATACATTTTTGGGACTTTTTTATATACTAACATTGTATTTCTTGGACTTTGTCAATAAGATAAAAATCTTCGGACAATAAAGTATATTTTGATTTGATTTGATATATATCTGATAAAGAAATTGAATTGAATTGGTCAAAAGCAATGTACGATTTGATGTTTTACCACTTTGTATTTCCAAAAATAGCTCTCAAATAACTCACCTTGCCAATTCGCTTGTCCTTCCAATGAAATCCAGCTTGTCAAAAAGATCAATAATGGCTGTAACCCTGGTGATGTAATATTTGACAGTTCTATACCTGTACAAGTTGGATCGGTGATCCCACCAGAATGATAAATCTCTAAACGAATAATATGGTTCCCTTTTATGTAGTACGTGAAACATAATCGATTCAAATGTATAGCTCTGAAGTGAAATTTCATGCCGCATCAACCTCCATACATCTAAAACTATTCTACCTGTTATTTTAAGTTCGTTCGGAGCTTCTTCGTCTTTCCATTTTAGGTTGTTGATTTGTGTTCTACCTAGTAAATTTTTAATGTTTTTTCCCATGTGACTTGCTCTATCCATGAGATAACCCCACGATAATAATTCAATTTCATAACCTGCGCAAATATCTGGGTCCCAGTAAGCAATGACCTTCAAAAATTCATCGAATAAATTCTCTTCGGAATCCACGTAAGCAATATTGCAATCTAGTCCAATACCATTCAAAATCGGAGTATTGGAAACCCCGGAACTGAGAGGCAAATCATTGATTGCTATCACACCCTTACACGTTTTTGCTTTATTACTAGGCTCAGGTACATCGTGATGTATTGTGTAAAATATAGCTCTTATTGAATCATGATTTGGGTCTGGCTTAAAATCTCCTCGTGTACGGATGTGTAGTTCCATAACAAGTAGTGTTATGTTTTGGTGTTCCAAGACAGCACGAGCATCCTGCAGGTTGCGTGCTGACTTTTCGAAGCTATGATTTACCATTAAACCAGTAATTTGACAAGAATGGTTTATGGAACTTTCCTGGGAAGGAAACAGAGGCGTTCTCAAAGTCTTATTGAAAATTTCTTTTTTTCTTGCCTTACATTCTTTGCCAAAAACAGGACTCGCTGAATCAGCTGAACGTTCTGCTGCTTTGGAACTGTCCTGGGAATTGCTAGGAGTACAAGGAGTTAAAGTTAGACTCATATCCAAATCGTATTCTTCATCTTTTCCTTCATTTCTTGGGCTCAAAGGCAAATGAATTTTGGTTCTTTTCTCTATATTTTTTTCTTTTATAACGTCGTTCACGGCCTTTTCCTTCAACCAATTTAATACCTCTTTAGTTGTTGGAGTTCTTTTAACAGGAGTAATAATACATTCTCTGTCCTTACAAAAACTGAGTATCATTGTTTTTATACTCGAAGAACTCCACTGCAAGGTAGATGATAAAATGTCCAACTTATTTTTCCTGAAAATATTCAAACTATCAGTCTGTGATTCAAATTCCGGAAGATGTGCTGTTGTTAGACTGCTTATTTTTAGAATGTTGAATCCCACTTCGATGCTTCCTGCGACATCTTCTACATTGCTGTAAAATGGTACCTGCTGTCTAACATGAGCAATCCCGTACTTTTCCATGGATTCCACCACTTCACGTTTACTAGGTCCTTTTTTATTTGTCGTAATGCTGATATTTGAAGAAGAGTTACTGTTAGTAACAGAGTTAGAAGATAAATAATTAATTTGGAAATGTTTCTCTATAACAGCAGTACTATTTTTAGTCAGATCCTCATCGTCGCTCACAAATCTTTGACCAGGTGTAATCAGTACCGAACCTGAACTCCCAGATGATATGTGAATATCAGGAGGATCTGTTTGCGATTGGAGTGGAGTGAACATTTTAGAAGACCCCTCTTTAGCGACATAGTTATTTTCTTTGTCGTACTTTTCGGCTGGCGTCGTATAAGTTTGATTTTCTTGGATATCCAGAGGGTTGAAGAATGACATTTCATTACAGTCATCGTCAGAGCTGAAAATACTCGAACTTGACTTTTCAGATTCACCTTCATCTGGAATTTTCTGAGTAATACAATTTCTTTTGGCGACTGAAACATGGCGACACACTAGTTTTTCTTCAATCCTAGTTGAGTTTAATGGAGAATCCTCGGTGAAAAGTTGACGTTTTACGTTTATATCACAGACTGGAGTATGTATGGGTTTCGGGTCTAACAGAGTCGCATCTTTTTGGAAACTGAAAAAGTAACATTGCCAATAGGAACTTATAAAGTTTTCAAAATATCACAGTTTAGTGGCAGTTAAACAGAAAAAGTAAACCAAGATTGAGAAAAATATGCGTTCTGATATAACAGGTGTTAAACAATCTGACCAAGTTAGGGAATTAAATAATGGGTTCTTGAAGTCGAGCGAAGAAAAAAACTTCCTTCAAGCAATAGTTTTTTGTTAAGCTTATTATTGAGTCGAAACCTATTGGAACTCGACCAAATTAGTCCTTTTTCTTAATGAAGCCAATATGTGATACTTGGCCATACCCTGAAAACCAGGTCCTATCCTGGAATTTCCGTGTGAAGAATTGTTCACTCCAAGGATGAAAGACCATATTTCATTTTTTCTGAATCTATAAAAAANCCAATATGTAATACTTGGCCATATCCTGAAAACCAGGTCCTATCCTGGAATTTCCGTGTGAAGAATTGTTCACTCCAAGGATGAAAGACCATATTTCATTTTTTCTGAATCTATAAAAAACCTGATTGGCTGTCAATCTGCGACTACCTTCCTTAGGTAGGTGAGCAACGCAAGTGTGAAATAGGTCTCCTGTGAAGCATGTTGCAAGAATAGTCACTTGAAGAAATTCGGCGATCTTATTCTTTACAAAGGTTTAGCGGACTGTATCACTGTAGAAAATACAACGAAGTTCAACAAGATACAACATAATCAATCCTTTATTCAGAAAGCCGAACATAATGAACTGAAAATTTTAATCATGTATAAATGTCCTTAGTTTTCCTCACGAAAGAATTTGCGTATTTTCGCATGGGTGGCCGACATTGAGCGAGCTGATGTGCTTCAGTCGAAGGTGCCTACGTGACTGAATTCTCCAACAGGTTGAAATGCGGTCGAAGTGCACAGGTGCCTCTACGCCTGCTGATTGGTTGGCTGCGAATAGTGTAGTTGGAATGTTCCAAATAACTTAAAATGTATGAGAGATTGCAAAAATATAATGAAATCTCGACAAAATATTTCAGGGAGTCGTCTTCCTGTAGCTGCATTGTGCTACTGTACCCACCAGGCAGGAGATGCTCTTCTGATCCTCTAAGAACACCTGTAACCATCCAAGACGGAAAGTGCAGCTCTGGAATCGTAAATTTAATCATCTTCATCTTCTGGAATACTGAAGAGATCCCAGTTGATTAGTCGATATTGAGATTGTCGGATATTCAAAGTTGAGGTCGGATATTCAAAGATGAGGTTGTCCGATATTCAAAGTTTAAGTTTCCCTCCTAAACGAGTGTTTAGGAGGGACCTGAACCTTTCCATATGAACGCATCTGTAAGTCAGATATACTTGAAGATACAATAAATTCAGCCATACAAGGCTTTTTCGTCCTTGATGTGGGTAAATCATCATTTGAGTGGAAGTATCTAATGACCTGTACAAGGGAAGTTTGATTCCTCTCTTGGTTGCAGATTCTACTACGGTGTAAGGCAAATTCATAATATATCCTGCTCTTGAGGAGATGATAAGTCGCTTCCTGGTTGCATCTCCTAGCCTCCTAGGTTTCTTAAGATGATCAAGAGATGGAGAACTGAAAATAGGTTTCTTAAGATGATCAAGAGTTGGAGAACTGAAAATATCTTGCTCTGATATTGAAGGGAGGTCAGTTGAGGTCGTTTAGTCTGTAGACTCAGTGGCGGATTGAACTGAATTTGCTTAATTTTTCATGGCAGCACACATTCAAAAAGCAACAAAACAGTCAAGTAGTAAGATAATAAACAATCGCCCTATCGCCTGCATTGATGTATAACATCATTTTTTTAATAAATCTTTACTGTTAGTATAGTAACCAAATATATGAGAGAAAACGGGAACTTTCCTAGATAATGACACCAAAACTGGTTGAAATCTATATAATGATTGAGGATGACTAAACAGGTATCTTTTATCGGTTTTTTATAATATTTTTTTGTAGAATTTACAGATTTGCTAAAACACATATTTTTCTGCAATCTTCATCGTCCAAATGAGTTTTCTTGAGGAGATGATAAGTCGCTTCCTGGTTGCACTTCCTAGCCTCCTAGGTTTCTTAAGATGATCAAGAGTTGGAGAACTGAAAATATCTTGCTCTGATATTAAAGGGAGGTCAGTTGAGGTCATTTAGTCTGCAGACTCAGTGGCGGATTTAACTGAAATTGCTTAATATTTCATGGCAACACACATTTAAAAAGCAACAAAACAGTCAAGTGGTAAGATAATAAACAATCACGCCCAATCGCCTGCATTGATGTATAACATCATTTTTGAAATAAATCATTACTGTTAGTATAGTAACCATATACAGGCTGATTCACGGTGGATGGCACATTAGACGTTTCTGGTGAACCAGACAACGGATCACTTTGAAAATTTAATGGAGGGCATATTCGGACATTCTCTAGCCAACTAAAATATTTTCGACAATGCGGTGTTGCCGCTTCTATTAGAAAGCAGTAGCAACTTTGATTTTTCAAATGTCATCGTCCAAATGAGTTTTGCGTTACAAAATAATGAAGTTGTTTTGGCTGTGCTATTTGTGAGTAGAACGTGCAGAGGTGCAAATCATATAGTGAATCTGGATAGGCAGGATGTCTCAAATGATTTCATTGAAGGAAAAGTTTTATGCAAAAACTATCTGCACATTATATTCATATTATATTGAACAAGTTCTGAATTTAGAAACAGGCAACAAATTCATCATAATAAAAATGATTGCTTTCAATGCCAATATCAAGTAAGTTGTCGATAACAAGTTATGAGACAAAGAAAGAGGGAGCAGTCAAGTCAATTCAAAGGCTCATATGAAATTATAGGAGTTTATTGCCTCAGTTTCTTTAACGGTATGAAATCTAACTTGTGCAATCTGTTAAAAAAACCTTTTCAAACGTAGATTTACTGGTTGTGAATATGAATCCACATCAAATTAAAGAACAGAACATGGGTTCAGTTCTCATTGTTATGGAACCTGCAATAAGCAAGTTACTAGATCTTCGAAACCATAATAGATAAGTACTGGACTATGCAAACATCCTTACTCAAGGTCAAATATAATGATATAGTGAGGGAATGTATGTAGCAGGCCCTAAACATTATATTCAGATGGACCAAGGAAGAAGGGCTCAACATAAAAACATTCAAATAGGGTGTAGTAACAGTGACCAAAAAGATCAAGATAAAAGGGCCAGGATCTCTAAAACGCGAGTTGAAGGCATACAGTAGTCGGAGAGATTGAATATCTGGGCGTAATACTAGACCCCAGACTGACCTGAACCAACATTTGGATATAATAAAAAGAAATGTGCTGCACTGATGCTGATGTGACCATACACAATGTATTCTCTATATTCAATTATGGTTAAAAACCCACGGCAACATATGGTTTGGTGGCCAGACAAGAAACAATTACCTCTTAACAAACTAAGCAGAGTGTAAAGACTTGCTTGTTTGATGAGATGACATCAACAGTAGCATTGAAGAAACGCTTAGATCTACCTCTTTCAATTATTGAAATGGAGAAAGCGGTAGTGGGTTAAATTAAATTGTAAAATTCACCAAGCTATTGATATCAGGTAAAATAAAAATTTTACCGAACATGTTCAAGAACCACATGACACAGAAGTACACTTGCGACACAAACTTCATAGTTGAAGTTAAAAGTGGATGATGAAATAGTCATTCCGAGGACATGTTTGGCAGATATACCCTGTATGCAGACGTGTTGATATAAACTTATATTAGGATCACTTCACATCAGGGTTCCGAGCGGAAATGTATGCAATCCTACAATGCGTACCTAGTATTAATTTGAGTCCTCTACGTAATGGGTGGACCGAGAAGACCCCTATAGGCTACACTTGGTACATCCGAAAATTCTTTTGGGAATGGCTGAGGCAACTGGTGAACACGAACAAATTGACTCTTTACTGGGTACCAGGTCACTCAGGAGTCACAACCAATGAAAAAGCTGATGAGTGTGTTAATAGCAACTCCATATATAAGCCCCGAAAATGGGATACCAAAATCATTGGTACAGAACCAGGAAGCAAAATGCATAAATAAAAAACACAACGATTTCTGAGAAAATCTGGGAACACACACCCTTATAAAAGGATTGACTGAGGAAAGAACTTATGAAATGCTTCAACAGAATAGGAATAAGCTCAGAATTATTTCATATCTAATCATTTAAAATAAATATTCACTAGTTTGGTATTTTGAGACTTAGTCGCTTCCTCCTCTTTTATTTCATGGGTAATCTTCAGACATTAAAAAAAATATTCATCAGTTTGGTATTTTGGGACTTGATCGCTTCCTTGCCTATTATCTCATCAATCAATCAATGTTGAAAATAGTAACATTCAATTTTGTACCTAAGGCTTCAACAAGCCAATTATAAAAGAAGTTCCTACTGTAATTCATTATCCTACAAGAGAAATATCCTGCATTACCAGATTTTTGGTTGATTTTGTTATTTTCTATGCCAATTGAAGTTTCACATAAAAAATTCTACCCTACACCAATCAATCAGCAGACACTTTGTACGACAGCATTGAGTATGGATGGTAACTTAACGTTTCACAAAGCAAATAACCATTTTCCTTTGTTTGAAAGTGGTTGACAATGTTTCATAGCGAATTTCATTAGTTCGGACTTCCATTGTCTAATATGATTCCACTATGATTCAAAATCTATGAAAGAACAAATAAAATTAGAATTAATAGATAAAATCAATTGTTAGTGTACACAACCTTTTTTCTTTTTTTACTCTGTAGTCATTTTCATTTTGTATCTTGTTTATTTTATTCATTGTATTGTATTTTCATTTCAGGCTTAATATAACTGATATTTAGCTATTGATTCTAATTTTATTTGTTCATATATTTTGAATCATAGTGAAATCATATCAGACAATGGAAGTCCAAACTAATGAAAATCACCATTTTCCTAATCACCATGCAGAGAAATTGTTCATTCTTTTTACCTCTTAAAATTAATCTTATTTCAACTTATAGTTTGATCTTAATTATATCAACTTACACTGAGATCAAACATTACTAAAGTATCATGCAATAAGGTGTGTATACAACTTTTTACAACTTATTAATCTGACTGGATAAATATTTTTTTTATATGAAATTATATGTCATTAAATACAGTTTTGAATGCAGAAACACGACTTTCTGATAACATTGAAAAATAAAAGAAAGTTCTCAATTATTTCCTACTCATCTACAGTAAAGCCAAATTAAAATTGACTTGATAACTGTGGTTAACACATGATAATTAAATGGAACCCATCAATTTTTAGAAGAATAGATTACCCAAAGTGGCAAGTTAAATCTTATCTTGTAGACAACATAACCCTTCAAAATATTTTTTCATTTGGTGAATTTTAGTTGTAACATTTGTCACATTCTTGATTACGTGATTAGTTCCATTGCCACGGCGCCACACACCAATCAATCGAGTTAATTCTATCTGCCTGTCTGTTAAAATCTGTTTCTCCCTCAACCAGCTGTCGCCCCCCTTCGAACGACAACTCTCAAAAGTCCGAACTTGTGCGAGCTAAGGACTAAGGAAGTCTTACCTTTTAACGTGTGATTCCTAACACTGGTTGGACGATATAGGAAGTGAAAATCGATCGTCCGGCCTTGCGCTTCGAATCACCTGTTTACACAGCGGTTGATTGAGTGAATGAAGCAAATCACCCAAGTCAACCAATCAAACTACCGTGATGGTGCAAAGGAGAATTTGTTCATCTCCACATTTGATAAACAATTTTTGATTACGTTGTAAGTTGTCAATCGTGTGAATTTTTGCGAAGTGTTCTCATTACTGCTAAAATTCTGTTCATCAGACTTAATCTGTCAAATGATAGATATCCAGGCAACACTGATGGATCATTGTTGAACTTCAGAACTTTCCATTTTATCACAAAAAACATGATATCTCGATTTCCATTGCTCCAAGCTTGTTTTATCTCAAATATCATAGATATCATATAAAAAATCAGTTACTATAAACATCAGAGGTAAAATTAGGGTGGTTTATTATTATTATATATTTTCTTCGTTTTTGCTCAAGTACTTGATCATTAGAAACAACCGAATCATATCTTCTTGAAGAATATAGATCTATTGTTTTGTGTTAAACGGTCGCTCACAAAGAGACGCTTTGATTTATTTTCCTTTCTTGGAAACTTATTCGTTTTACATGTTTTGTTTCTATTTAATACAGTTATATTCTTTTAAATTCAAAGCTCTTATTGCTCTTTGAATTTAATGAAATCCCCTCCATACAAAAACTAAAAAATTGAGTGATAGTACAAGGTCGGTCGGTAGCCAAGCGGTTCGACGTGGGTGCTTTGACTCACTCGAATTGACTGCCGTGTTGATGGGTGATTCAAACCTTAGTCTGAACAATCGATCTTCACTTGCTATCGTCCAACCCGTGTTAGAAATCACACGTTAAAAGGTAAGACCTCGTTAATCCTTAGCTCGCACAAGGTTCGACTTCTGAGGGTTGTCGTTCGTAGGGATGACAGCTGGTTAACAGAAAAACAGATTTTTTTCAGAATAGTAAATAATGAGCCGACCATTCAGTGGCGGAAATCTAGGCCAAAAGAAGAAATTTCTCTTTCTATAGCAGGTGACAAAGTTTCACAAGACGCGCGGCTTGTAGAGCCCACAAAAACCAATTTTAGAAACACAGAAAACGTTTCGACATTGGAGACAGTTTAAGGTGGGATTCTTGGAAAGAGTCTGAAGTTGTAAGGGTCCTTAAACTCACATTAGTGGATGTTCATTCATTGATCAATATAATTATTACTTATATTGGGGTGACACTGCGGTGAGACCATTTTAGATAAATTATTGAACATCATTTTTGGGACGATTTGGAAGGAAAGAAATTACAAACAGAACAGCCGTGTTTTGTACACTGGTTTATACTAGTGGGATGAATCAATTGAGTTATTTGATTTGAGACACTCCAAGTTTTAAGGGCTAGGGCCATTTGGCAACCATTACAGTGTTCAAACTGGTTTCATTTATCATGTGAGAATTTTTTTACAAAGAAATGAGATGGTCTACAAAATCCCAAATTATTTCTCAAACGTACACCTCCGTCTACAATCGCTTTCTAGGTACTTTTATTTTTTCAACTTTATATATTCATGACGGCTAACCTGGCTGCATGAATTGAAAACAAAAAAACTCTCTTCTTTTTTCAAAGCCACTAAGAAGTCCAATTTCTGCATTGATACTTTTATTTTATTGCAATATTTTCAAATATTCAACAATAGCAAAACACCCTTTTGCATATTCCAATCAAATTAGTTGATTCAGCACATATGCAATTAAGAATTTATTGCCAAGCTTACCCGATTCTAAAATCTTTATTTGACATAGAAATCCTAATATACAAATGATGAAGGTTATTTTTCATTGATATACCCCAGAAAATTGGACTTTAATGAATTCAGTGATGCACTATCCTTGATACGAATGGGTAAATTATCATATTGAATCAATCCTTTGTGACATGAAGAATTCAGGTTTTTTTTGTAATTGGTTCTATTTACATGAAAGTTAGAACTTCCTCTGATCTGGTAATTGTGAATTTGATTATTGAATGTGATAAATTGATTAAAATATGAAGGTAACTGTCCTTTCAACATTTTATAAATAAAAATCACTGAACGATAATATAATCGGGTTTTTAATGGATTCCAGTTGAGTACAACTAACATTGTATCGATAGAAGTGGACTTCTTGCATTTGAGAACGCAATGATACTGTTAGAATCAAGCTACGACAGTAAACTTGGACAATATTCAAAGTGAGGTTGGATTATAGTTTTATAGACCGTTATAGATGTAGAGAAAGATAATTGTTGACGTATTCGTGAAAAAAAGAATATTTTTTTACTTATTTTGCTATGAACGTAATTGAAATGGCTTTTGAAAGTCATAAAGTTATCTATTTTGAAGCCACGATATTTCACTTCTTGCACTATTTCAATGTTTTCATTTTATAGTGATATATTTATGTTTATTGCTCTAATTTACTACCTGTTGGAGACCAATATAAAAATGTAGTAGCAGAAGATTCCTTCAACTAATTAAAATGGTATTTGAACTCCTATTATGAATATCCTTAAAATAAAAACTTGGAGGTTAACTGATAATACTCTCGAATTATTTGGTGAATATCATATTAGGTTGTTTCAAAAGTTTTGTCAGTTTCAATGTCATGTGTTTTTATAGCTCCATATCTCAATAAATATTTATTCTACTGTGTAGTGATATATACTGATCGATGGAGAATTTTGTACTCTATACATTGATGCTGTTTACTTTTTCAAAATTTTAATTTTTTGGTGCTGTTCATTTTGTTCAAAAATTTTAATTTTTTGACTTTTTTCAGCTTATTACTACTATATGAAGTCGTTTGGAGATGTTTGGCCTATTTTTCTCTACGAATTCAAATTGAACCAAAGCGCTGCGGAAACAGCCTGAAAAATCAACCAGACATTTGGCAATGATGCGTTAATGAACACATCAGTAATTCAGAACGAGGATTTGGGAACCCTGATGGAGACTGACCCATCACAAACGATGCGTGGAATGGCGGAAGAACAGGGCGTAAGTTGCCATACGATTTTTGATGGTTTGAAACGTATTGGAAAGGTGACGAAAAGTTGGGGAACCAAAACGATCCTTTTTTGATCGTGTAATAAAAAAAAGGATCGTGTGATAAAAAGTTCTACGACAACAAGAGACGTTCAGGACAGTGGTTGGACACCGATGAGCCACCCAGGCACTCCCCAAAGGTAAAACCTACCAAAAATAGGGCACGGTCACTTTATGGTAGTCAACGGCTGGTGTGATTCATCATAACTTCCTGCAAACCATCACAGCAGAGTCCTATTGTAAGGAAATCGACGATATGTATCGAAAATTGCGTCAGCAGCAGCCGGTAGTGGTCAACAGGAGAGGTCCAATCCTGCTCCACGACAACACCCGTCACAAATCACCGTCCTTAAATTAAATGACAGCAGAGTCCTAGTGTAAGTAAATCGACTAAACGTATTAAAAATTGAGTTAGCAGCAGACGATAGTGGTCAACAGAACACGACAACACCCCTCCGCACGATTCACCAATCACCATCCTTAAATTAAATGAATTGAGCGTCGAATTTCTGCCTCACCCACCATACTCCACAGACCTCACGCCAATCGACTACTATCTTTTCAAACACTTCGATAACTTTCTCACTGGTAAAACCTCCGCCAAACAGGACCAGGCAAAAACGGCCTTCGGAAGTAATCGACTTGTGTCACTTTGGCAAAAGTGCACTGATTCAAATGGCATTTATTTCGATTGAATTGAATGAGTATTCACTGAGATATTACAGTTTAAATTAGATTCATACAAACGCACAAAACTTTTGAAACAACCTAATATTATACTTGACCAATAATTTGTATTGGAAATTCGTTAATAAAGAATATTTACCTGATCTCTCCGGGTTAATCTGAACTTTAGGAGATTTATTAACTGATATCGGCAACGCCTTATACCTTCGAGATTCCCTAGACGGCGTTCCCTTCAAAGATTTTTTGCGTTTACGTTCAGTTCTTTCATCATCTGAAGAACAGGAATCTACAGTACCATCTAAAGAAAAAATAACGTTTTTGTTTTGTATGGCACGAATTCGTTCCGATCTTCTTATTAATACAGGTTCGATTATGGGTTCCTTTAAATCTGAAAATAACTAAATATAAGTATTTTCACCCAAAATTGTAAATTTATCAAATAAAATTTTGCAAGAGTTTGAAATAATAAACAGTTGTGATGAGAGAATTTTAAATAAATATTCCAGACTTTTACAAGATATCTATTATCAATCAACATTTAATAGACGAACCCTTCTTTAGATTTTTTCTTGTGAACAATAACCATATAAATAAAGAAATTCTACATGATCTATTGACTACAACTATACACTTTTCGAAGCTTCAATTTGTCTGACATAAGTCAATTATTACTATAAAATGATTTTATGGAAAAAAATAAAAAAGTTTTGACTGATTTGAACGCGTATGTCCTTTGTCAAATAGGTCACATTGTAATGTTTGTTAAGTTTTGATTTATATTAGTATGATTTATTTTGTTAGTTCCTACTGAATATCTTGCAACTAGATTAAACCAGAACCCAAAAACAAAGCATTCTTGATCCAACACCAGACAGCGCCACTTCGGGTCTCGTTAGTGGTGCTTGGCTTAACCCCGCATACTTTGCTGGACTCAACTGTCCTTAAATAACAAGCCTGAGTAAATGAGGGCGATGACATCTTCACTTACAAAGACATCTATGGGATTGATGGAGAACTCAAACCTCGAATATCAAAGATAAACGAGACTCCCCAGGGCAGTCCGTTGCAAAGACAAGCTTCAACATCGATCACCAACCGAAATTCGTGCTCTGTCTTTGTACCGCAGCGTTCACTGCAAGACAAAGATAAAACCGGAGTCCAAAAACAAAGCATCTTCTATTTCAAAACAAGCATATTTCCCAATCACCAAAAATGCAATGATTGGGAAAAGTGCTTGTATCTGTATCTGTAGAGTAGGGAGGGTGAGTGTAAGCCCACAGCACTTAGGCCACATGTGACCCATTGTCCTTTCAAGGAAGATGGACAGGTCACTGAGAGACATCTCCTTCATATCGGTAGGTGTATGCCAAGACTCGCCAAGCATACACTCTCTTATTGACGATAACTCCGGACACTCGCATAGAACATGCCTGACAGTTTCATCTTCCTGCTCACACATCCTGCATAGAGGTGTGTCCACTAGCCCCATATTATGGAGGTGTTTCCTTAGTTGACAGTGGCCAGTCAGAAATTCTACTGTTAAACGTAAATTTTTCCTGGTCATCGCAAGATATTTCTTCGGCGTCAGCTTTTCAGGGTCGCCCAGGGTGATCCTGGCAAGATTGCAGCCTTTGATTCCATCCCATCTCTTTAGGGATTGAGCATGGGTGTAACATTTGGCCACTGGGTGCCACTGGGTTCTAAAATTCTTAGGCCAGCCTTAGCGCATTGCCGACTAAAGAGTCGGCAATGCGATTACCTTTACTCCTGTCGTGCCCTTTTACCCAACTCAGGACAATGTTATTATCTACCGAGGCTTTGACTAAATCTTGGTGGCACTCTAGTACTAGCCCTGAGGTAACACGTTGTCTGTTTAAGGCTAATAGGGCTTGTCTGCTGTCAGTGCAGATTATGTTTTTGCCAGAAATTCCTTTCCTGGTTATTTCTTTTGTGGCGATTGAGATACCAGCCAAAAAAGTGCTTGTTTTGGGTTTATTCCATGCCATAGGTTCAAGTTTTACCTTTTACCATCTTCTATTTGCCTTGCACTGGTAGCTGCAGTGAAAGACAGGATGAATCTGTTTGGCGTTCAATGTTGAAGCTTGGTATTGAAACAGATGGGGTTAGGGAGCCTCGTTTATTTTTGATATTCCTGTATCGAGTCTTCTGCCGATTCCACAATTGACTTTTTTGTAAAGGGATATGCCATTGCCTTCACTTTCTCAGGCTTGTCCTTTCAGCAAAGCGTTCTTGGTTCAGCCTAGAACCACTGATGAGACCTTAGCGGGTCGAAAAAGCACTTTTACACCAGAAAAACTTTTTTCTTTCATACATTACTGGCTAAATACTTGGAAATCGGACAACTTTACAAATCAATGATTTTGGAAGTTCCAACCATTCATAAATATTTGACAATCTTTCTTATCTTGAGATATCTACAAGAAGTATAACTATGGAAAATGAGTTGATCATTTCAAGAAAACAGAGGATTGGGATAGACTGAAAAATCTGAATGTAGAAAGAAAATGTCAGTTCATTTTGAGCTGGTATATCATTAGCACAAGTATTGAAAGCAGAATATTATTGTAATAGAATGATAAATCCACCTCCTCTAATAACTTACCAGATAATAAAATATTTTTTCAACATGGTAATATGTACAATTAATCATTTTGGAAATTCAGCATGCGCAGCAGAAAAAATTAGGAGGCAAACTGATTGAGGTAATCATTTTGGGAAATATCTACATATCCAAAACTGTGGAATTATTAGGAAGCCCAAATATTACTCACAGTTTAAACAATCATTTACTTTTCAATCAGTGAAAACATGCGACACGGGCTGAAAATCATTCAATATTTGTGGGAATTATTTCAGTTTTCAAAATACATAAAAACTCATTCTAAATAAAAAAAAACAACATACACACAAAAAATCGTTAAAAAATTCTAACGATACAAATGTTTTTCCACATCATTTAAAAATATTCCTCTTTTCCATTTATCAACGGGAGATGGTTTCAATAAATATCTAATGATCCATTAGAGTTGAAACAAACTCTATGGTGGGTAAGCTAAGAGAGAAACTGGCTCAAAAAAGACTGACATTTTTTTTATTTTGAATATAATAACCAATTGCCCGTTCAGGTTGAATTAAAAAAATCCACAATGTTCTTTTCTATGTGTAGAAAGTTAGTTTTCGTTTTCTTCCTTTGGATGATTCTCACATTTTTTGAATGAAGATGGAAAAGTAGGAAGCCAAAACCTTTCTTTCCCAGCTTATTTATTATTCTATCAAACTTTTGAATTCAATGGGGGAATAACTCGAGAGCCGAATACCTATTTTTTTTAAGTAAGCAAATGAAAATCTCGAGAATGGTTCATTTTTGGTATAGGGTGTATTACATAAACTGACATACAGGTATTCATTGCCAGGTATTCAAAAATGTAAAAATATACAGGGTGTTACATTTGAATTGAAGAAGTTGGTACTAACTTCCGGTGTAACCGGAAGTGTTGGAAAAACGCAATTATTTTCATTCGAGAAAGCATATCAAAAAACGTATTCTTGCTAATTTCAGAGATAGTTTGCCTCTTAAACAAGGTAAATATTATCTCACAGACAATTTACGTTACATGTCTCACTCACATCACTCTCTATTCCTTCAACAGCATGTATTAGAAATGCTACCCACATAGACATAATAATATTGAATATCCGCTTCTCAAAAGAAAGTTTCATGTTCCTTAGAAAAAGATTTGGAGACCGTGTGAATCACCAGTGTTGGTGGAAAATCTCTTGAGAGATTAGAAAAATGAGATTAATTAGGAAAGAACAATTGAATGTGGATGAAAATGAGAAATATCAGCTAAATGAAGAATTGATTTAGGAAGAAGTCATAATAACTTCTAGAAATCTTCAACTATCATCAACCCTGATAAAAGTTTGTTACCAATTGGTGACTATAGCAGGTTCACAGATGAGCAAGAAATAACAGGTAAAAAATGTAACAATATCAAAACATCAGATAGAAATAGAGGATAATTTTCAGAATACAAGTCTTTTCTGATAGTAAGAAATTAGAAACTATTCAATCATGTTTTTTTTTTATATTCGCGGCACAAAGAAGTTTTTTGTTCTCCCATTTTTCCAACAGAAACTTTATTTGCAATTTTGCCTTCTCTTTCCTATTCTGATGTTCCTTACTCAAGTAATAGGTATACGAGGTATGTTCAAAAAATAAGGTGAATGATCAAACTTCGCGGGATACGCACATTAGTTTATTAGCGATAGAAAAAATGGATCAAAGGATTTGCATCAAATTTTTTGTAAAAAATGAAATTGAGTGCTCTTAAAAACTTGAAATTTTCACAGTAGCATACGGTGTTTGTACTCTGAGTCGGAAAAATGTTTACAAGTGGTACAAGCTTTTCCCAGAAAGTCGAGAAAATATGAATAATGACGCTCACCCTGTACGCCCCAGCACATCAACAACCGATGAAAATGTTGAGAAAGTGAAGAAAATTGTTATGGAGAATCGTCGAATCACTATTAAAGAAGTTGCTGAGGATGTCGGCATATCGGTTGGCTCATGCCTTGCAATTTTTTCGTAAATTTTGGGCATGAAGCGTGTGGCAGCGAAGTTTGTTTCAAAATTGCTGAATTTTGACCAAAAAAAACCGTCGTATCGCTCAGGAATTGTTGAATAATGGTAACGACGATCCAGATTTACTTGAAAGGGTCATAACTGATGACGTATCATGACATCGTCCCAATGGAAGAGCAGAGGAGAGCTAAGATTAAAAAAAGCACGCCAAGTTCGATCAAATGTCAAGGTTTTGCTTACTTTTTTCTTCGATTTCCGTGGCGTAATATATCAGGAGTTCTTTCTACATGGTCGTACGATCAATAATAAGCGGTCTCATCTTGAAGTTATGCGTTGCTTGCGAGAAACAGTACGAAGAAAACGTCCGGTATTGTGGAGAAACAATCCATGTCTTTTGCATCACAATAATGCATCGGCTCACTCGTCATTGCTTGTTTGTAATTTTTTGGCCAAAAACAACACCGTAATCATGCTTCAACCACCGTTTTCATCAGAATTGACCCCTTGCGACTTTCTCCAATTCCCAAGATTGAAGAGACCCATGAGGAGATAAACACAGAATCGCTGAGAGAGCTCAAGGACATACCAAAAAGTGCATATCAGAACTGCTTCGAGGATTGGAAAAAACCCGGCACAAGTGTATTATATCTGAAGAGGACTTCAAAGGGGACAAAATCGATACTGATTAATATTTTTCAAGAAAAATTAAAATTCACCTCATTTCTTTAACGGACCTCGTATTTATAAATACAATTCTCTCATATCAATTAACAATTCAACACTTATGAAAATATTAGCCTTCTTACCTGTTACTTTTCTGCAGAGAGTAATATCTGTGGAGGAAGAACTTAATATTACTACTCTATCCAGACAGAACTTATTACCACAACCAAAATTATTCTTGGAAATTTTGCTTAATGAATCCTCTTCATCACAGTTTAAATTAAGAGTTTTATTACTTTCGAATTGGTCACTAGATTCAACTTCCTTTTTTTCAATACTTTCTATTTCTGACCACATTATAGGCATACTTGTACTTTGTTTGTGTGAATTCTGCTCAATCAAGTTTTCAACATTACTATATCGGATATCTTTTGAACTCCCTCGATTAAGGCATTTGATTTTGTTGAGCACAGAAGCTCGTTCTTCATCACTAGAGAAACTAATATTATTATTGTCATCAAAACTAATCAAAGGTGTCCTAAGCAATTCTAAGTGCTGATGTAATTGTTTGGTAAGACTTGCGGCAGTTTCCTTGAAACGTTTCATGGTCTGAATATGTATATTATCAACTGAAGACTGATCTTTGACGTCCATGGAATATTCATTAGTAAGTAAATAAGGTTGATTTTTGTTGGTACTTTCTTTCCGAGGAGAACTTTCAGTTATTAACAATTCATCGAAATGATGCTCCATTTCAAATTGTTCTACATTCTCATTTTGGTTAATATTCTGTTTAATAAATGTATTCATATCATTTTCATTTTTACTTTGACAAATTTTTCGAGGAATTCTTATGACATCAGGAATATTTTTTTTATTGTAATCATACAGATAACAACAGTGATTTGGATATTTGATTCTTAAATGTAAACTGGGATCAACATAATTGGCTGTCTTTACAATTATGTCGCTGATAATTTTGATTTTGGAAAATTCCGTCTCATAAACGTTTCTTCTCAAAGGATATGGTGCTGAAACCAAATTCTAGATAATAATAATTTAGTCCATAATTATTTGCTCTGTAGAAAAAAAAAATTACCGTACATCAACTAAAACTTTTTCAACTCTTAATAAATAAGATTGGAACGAATAAAATAAAGATTGAATTCAATATGGTGAGTAGTCACATAAATGAAAGAATATTCAAAAATTGTCTTAAAAAAAATCTCGCTGGCCATCTTACTCCTCCATCACCTGCAATTCCAAGGGAATTGTTCTAGCATTATGTGGTGATACAATAGAGGAAAAGACTGCATGGTCTGCAGTTTTTTGTGGCATACGTTTCGTCTACAACTGTGTTAGATATCAACAAAGGCGATAACGCACCAAAGAGCTCTAATTGTCCTCACCACATATATTATATCGTTCAAGTTTTGGGTCTTCCATTTTATTAAATTGGTGGTGGACGTGACTTAGGTCCTACTGGTTGAATTAAAAGACCTGACGTCTACAAAATGTAGTGCAGATAGCCATACTTTATGTCAATTCCCTATTCCTTTTGTTTGAAATTTTCTGTCAATTGCTTGGATATTACCTTCGAGTCTCTACAAACGAAATAATACGATTGCTTTCTCTTATGCATTTTCTGTTACTGCTGATTTATCTTGGTCACTGTAGACTAATCCACAATTCCAAGGGATTTAGTGTACCCCCAGTATTGCTAAAGGTCTTCTGAGCTGAATTTGAACCCTTGATATTCTCTTTCCTTCATTCGAATTTGGCTTTGCTTTGAAGTAATTTTCCAGATGGCTAAGTTTCTAAAGGGGAATGTAAGATTATCAATTTCGAAAGGGCCCGACGCATCTATAAACCTGAATGTCTCCCCAGGGAACTTAGGAATCTGAATTATTTCTTCGAAGAGAATGGATATAGCCAATTTGGAACAAGCAATACGACTCATATACGGCAATTAAACTTATTTACGGAGACAGAAAGTATTTTTATGATTCGAGCTGAAAGAAAATTTCTCAATGCTGGAACTTTCCCTATCCTAACCAGTGCACTCAATCTTTTATATATTTTCTTGTTTTTTTGCAAGTACCACTACCAATTCGTATTTTTTTTGATTTTCTGAACAATTGTAATGGATTAGAAATGATTGTTGAGTCCCATTTTGTCCAATTATACTAAAAAACACATTTTTATACAAATAGTGGAATGAAAACCGGTTCTATTCCGATTTCCGTGACGAGAAGAACTTTATTTGTTTATGAAGACTGAATTTGTTATCAAAAATAAATTTGGTGTGGACGAACTTCCCGTCAATTATGAGAAATTCTTTCGTGTATTTTCGTACCATATCGTATGACATGTGTGAATGTATTTACTGAAAAAGTTACTCCAACAAAACCTCTAGACAGAACTAGACAACTGTCTGAAGCACATCAACAGCTTAAGGAAGTCCACAATGAACTGCCATTCTTAAACGTATCGGTAGAGGACAGACACTAAGTGGGAAACCACTGTATACCGAAAACCCACTCGCACGGGTCAGTATCTGAATCACGAATCCAACCACCGTCAATCTACCAAAAGAGGAATCGTCAAGACTCTAGTGGGTCATGCTTTCGGGTTCTATAATACGAAGGAAGATCTCGACAAGTAACTAGGCATCATCGGATGGAAGAGCAGATGTATGTTAACTGTTGAATTATATTTCATATTGCACAATACTCATTATTGCATACAAACTGAATCTCGCCCTAACTGCATGAACAAAATGTGATTTATTTTTTATTTTAATTGGTAATAAGGATATTAGTTATTATTATTAAAAAAAGATCTTCAGCAGAATTCGTTGTCTAACAACGCATTCAGTCAAGCTAGCGTAGAAATACGCAACATGTGAAAACCTGTAATAAAGCGGAAAACGGTCAACTCCACTAAACCGGTAAAGCGGAGCGGGGGGAGGAGAGGATAGGTGAAAGCGCTCGAATGACCCACAAATGTTCATCTCTCGAAGGGATAGTCCAGCTGATTGCGGATACTAACAATCGAAACGTCAGAAAGTAACTTGGTTTGTGTTATGATCCTTAGTCGATAAAACACACTAGTTTTAATATTTAATGATTTACTTAGGACACAACTTCATATTCGAATATTGTCGAGCGGAATGGACTCTCCGTCAAAAGATGACAATTTACTGTCAAAAAAACATAGAACATGACTCATGAAATACGTGATACAACAGACAACACGTTTCTTCCTTTAGAAAACCATCCAGCCAGAAATAAAAATGTGTTCCAGATGCTTATATGAACATGTTCCCAGGAGATGTCCAGCCTTCGGAAAGACATGTGCATCCTGTCAAGGTAAAGGATATTTTGCAAGCATGTTTCAGGAATGAAATGAAGAAAAAAAACTGATGAATATTCACAAAAGGGCCCCCTTGTTTCCCAAGCAATCCAGCTTACACAATCATGATACATGTAACAGCAATTTTATTAGACCTCAACGTTTCAGGCTGATGAAATCACAAAAAAACTCCTATGATTTTAAATTGTATATAGAACATGTGCGTAGACACACTTTTGACGCAAGGAAGATGCTCGCCGAACCTATGTTATAATGTACCCTGTAAACTTGTTACAAATTTTCACTGTTTATTTTATTTTATAGAAAACTTTGTACCTTGCACCTATTTGTTTTTATGACCTGTCATAAATGTATTTTATACATAACATGATCAAATAAATATATCTTTCTATCTATCTATCTATCCATCCATAATTTATCAATTGCTCAAAAAAGCTCTCGCGTCAAGTGGTGTGAGGAAATGATTAAGAAGTTCGATCTTGGTGCTTCAAAAGCCAGAAACAGCAAAAGACCATGTGGGTATTCCAAGACGAACTGAATCTAACAAAAGAAAGTTCATGGAAGAAGCACAACGAAGCAAATGTTCGTCTGTTTCTTCGGCCGAAAGGGTCAGGTGGCCACTGTTCCGTAGAACGGTCTGAGTAATACATGACCATTTGTTTGTCGGAAGTATTTGGAGAAATTTATAAAACTAACCACCAAAGACGAATCATTCTCTATCATGACAATGCGAGCTCTCACACATCTCGTCAAGCAGGTGAATTTTTGAGCAGTCAAAACATCGAATTGATGACTCAACCTCCGTTCAGATGATTTGGCACCGAATGAATTCTTCTTGTTCGCGAATATCGAAGTTCAACTGCGTGGTCAACGATTTACGAGCGCAGAAGAAACAGTTGAATCATTGAAAAACCATATTATGGAAGTGTCTCAAGAGGAATGGAAAAACTGTTTTGATGAATGGTTTGAACAAATACAAAAGTGTATTGATCATCAAGGGAAATATTTCGAAAAACAATAAAGCCATTTTCATTAAAAAATGTTTCTTATTATTTGCTATTTCCGAAATATAAATAGTACCACCCTCGTATCAACCTGCTTTATAGTATTTCAGTTATTAGAACATCAAACTCAGTATTAACTTTAAAACAACATCATGTAATCAATTATGAACAAATACTGGTTATTTACTGATATCTGAAGAACTTTTCAGATACGCATTTGAATATAAGTAAATGACATCAATCAATATCATATCATCAATCTGATTGATACAATTTCATGACATTTGAGGATTTATACAAGATTTTACCTCCGACCTTTTTAACTGCACAATATTAATTCAAAAATGTTAGTCAGTTAGCATCCTGCTAGTTTTTGAATGAAATAAATTTATACTTTTGATTAGGTATATTATATATGTTAGTGTAGTTTTAGTATGTAGTGGGCAATATTTACAATCAACAGTCCTAGAAAAATAGCGGTTAGTTTTTATATAGTTATTCCTATACATTGTATTCAAAATTGAGAAAAAATGAATCTAAATATAAATCTATTTTTTTTACAAACATATATGCACGTCATAACTACTGAGTGTAATATTAATTACAAACTAAGCAAGAATACATGTGAGAACGTCACAAATGAACAAGTTGACATTAGTAATTTCATTATTTTTTGGCTTTCTTTGTTTTGGTCCACACAAACTCCAGTAGAGAATTTTAAAATTACCATTCTCATCTTCATATACCCTAATTAATGTGCATCGTTCATTACAAGAACATATTTGATTTACAAAGTTTATTTGCTCACATTACGAAAGAACACTCAAGACATGTCAAAATCAGTTGGTACAAATCAGGTGTATTCAATTTCCATTATGTAATTTGTTGAGATTATTACCTTTCATTTGAGGAAACTTAGCCAATAAAGCCTAGCCACTTCGCCATAGTTGATATGAAAATTACAGCTTTAAAAAATTGATTAGGTTGTTTCAAAAGTTTTATTAGTTTTCGAGTCTATTTAAACATGAATATCTCAGTAAATGCTTATTCAATTTAATCGAAATAAGCGCCATTCGAATTAGTGCACTATTGCCAATGTAACACAAGTTCGTCAGTATAAAAATTGTGTACCCGGTATATGATGAAGCCCGTTTTTGCCTGGTTCAGATTGGCGAAGGATCGTGTTGGTCCACCAAAGTCTTCAAATACTCGTCCTGGATTACTGTAGATCTCCGGAAGAAAATCTCGCAAACCAACGTCGGACGGTGTGTTCTTCAACACTATCATTGCCAAATACCTGGTTGATTTCTTGGTCTGTTTCGGCAGCGCTTTGGTTCAATTTGAATTCGTAGAGAAAAACTGACAAAAATTTCTATCGATCAGTGTATACCACAATACAGTAGGATAAATATTTATTGCAATATAGAGCTATAAAAACACATGACATTAAAATAGACAAAACTTTTGAAACAATCTAATAATCAGGGAAATCCTACCCCATAATTAACCAGCTGCAGACAATTACATGACATATGTAATTGAAGTAGGAGTAATTTTCAAGTGAGATGTGAGACTAAAGACTTGACAGCAGTCAACCTAAAAATGGCTATTGGAAACAGCCACCAAATAGGGATGTGAACGAACTAGTGGGAGTCTGCCACGCAGACATATCACAGTTCATAATTAATTGATTGTGATGTCAATGTACACCACCTGACCTGGTAGAGCATAGGCACCAAAGAAAGATGTGAATATTCACTACAAAAAGAGATAATTTGCAATAATTACATCAATTTCTAGAACCTGTTTTTGAAATTTGGTATGAGCCGGACTTTCACTTTTTCTATTGAATGACTGAATGAAATCTGTATAGCACTGGTATCATTTCTATTCTCATCAACTTGTTGATCGTGCAGCAGTACTCGTGGAGCAGTAGTCACGTCGGTTTTTTCATTACTTTGTCCAATTATTTTGGATTCAGAAATTAATGACTCACAAATTCATTGCGCATGTGTAAAAAACCGTTCACCGTACTGCAAACGACTTTGGTTATTTAAAAAATTGTGAATTCCTGTTTGACGAATCAACTGTAAATGATCTCAACTTTTGTCAAAATTAATTTTTTTATTTCTTATTTTTTATAACTAGTGGAAACAGAGAAAGCCAAAAAAAAGAATTTATTCTATATTTCAATCTTCCCATAAAATATTTTTCTTATAAATTTAGGTTTTTTAAATGTCAAAAATTTCAAATGTAACCAACTAGATTCTTGAATAAAATGTTTTTTATTTAAAGGACATTCAATTCTTGAAAAAATTGTTTGTTTTCTATCTAGCGGCCACTCCGGTGATCAATTATTCAGTTCAGATAAGAAAATGAGAAAATTATTAAATAATACTAACCTTTAACATCATCTTTGGAAAGAACCCTAAATTTGGGTACTCCACTCGCATTTATGTCCAGAATTAATCTCTTTTCTTTTTTGTGAAGCTTTCGCATGATCATAATAATTTGGTCTTGCCTGCTTAATTTTTTTATTCTATTTCCAAGCCTTTTTACCTCTTCTTCTGTTTTTCTAACTGATCTTTCTTTCAGTTCCTTTCTAGTTAGTTTCTTTTTCTTATATTTAGTTCTTCTGCTCTCACCAATTACAGTCATCAGCGGCCTTTTGAATCTGACAGATTTTTTAGGTTTTGCCTGAAGTTTTGAAGATGAAGTATTTTTTAAGTTTGTCCCTTCGTTATCTATTTCAGATATTTCATCTAGATCTGGCATATCTCTTCCTGCTTTATTTGTTGTCACTACTTTAATGAACACAGCTTTTTTTCTCAGTTTTCGTGCTGGGGAATTTTTGATATTAACAGAACAGATGTCATTATTGTTAAACCCCCTCTTTCCATATGAAAGATACTCTTCAGTTGTCAAGTTCTGAAATAACGATATCACAAAATTAAATAGCATTATAATTAGGTCGGAACCAGGATATATTCATACATGGATATATATTCATATATGCTCTCATAATTAAATTCTGAAATGTGAAATTAATAGGGATATATTTAGGCAGACCTCGGAGGTTATTCTGTTAGAACCAGAATAAATACACGCATGCATATAACATTTTCGTATATGCCCTCATAATTAAATTCTGAAATGTGAAATTGATTTGCTAAGAGCACAAAATCCGGGCCGTTAAGTCATGATCGAATGGAAGCTGAAGTATCAAATGTTTCATCTGCTACTACGGTAGACATCATCAGTGGTGTGAGTACGTTGACTGCAAAGCCGAAATTATATCTCAAAATCTCAGTTATGACTTTTATCTTGACTCCGGGGTGAGAGCCTATGTAAACATTTGTTAATTTACTTAAATTAAATATTTTCATCATTCAATATTTATTTATTGTTATGGTACATACATTTAGGGTCAAAACCGAAGTAAAAACTAATTTGATTCATGACTTTCATTTATTTGTTATATCAAGAGCATCAATACATCACTTACTGTATGAAATGATTTACCTTCATAATCTCTTCACTTTCTCCATCTAATTGAGGAATGAGAGTAGTATTCCACATATCATCATCACTTCCTTCAAAGTTATCATTATTAGATGAAACTATTTTATGAGGAGTCGTTACTGCTTCTAAAGGCATACTGAGATCTAAATCTTTCTCCTCATCATCTTCTTTAACTACTTGAGTCAGTATGCTGTCTTCTACAGCATCCTCTCCTTGGTACATGAAAAATATATAAATATCCATCAGGGAATCTAATGCTGGCAGGTAAAATGAGGACCAATGATAATTATACTAAAAGTGTCTGACATTAAACTTGCAAAGGATTTTCCTAAAGATTGCAGATACGAACACAAATAGACGTCATATCAGCGCCTCTCCAATAAAATAAGTATATATGCATAATAATGTGATCGTTAATATACTATTTTTTTAAGAACAAAACACAAGCACTTCAGGAAAATGCTTAAGGCGCTCTAAGAGCGGTGCCTGTGCGAAAGTAGTGATTCACATTGGATTTGAATCACTGACTATTGAATCCATTTGGAAAAACGTTCTCAGGAAGTTTATTCCACATAAATGCCGTTCTCCAAATGAAAGAGTTCTTAAAAAGTAAAGTTCGAGGTGTAATAACTTGAACCTCAAAATGATAAGCAGCCACAGTCGCGTATTTCTGATATGAACCGCTCTTGGTGGAATCAAATGTGCCAAGTCACTTGAACACTTCCCGTGAAAGTATCTATAGAAGAGAGACTAATCTCCAACCTTTCTCTTTGATGTTCCAGACTATCAAGGTTGCAAGTGATGTTCACGTCTCCAATCAGACGCATGGCTCTTTTCTGAATGGAATCCAGTAGCTTCAGGGTATGTTTAGGGGCGGAGCTCCTTACATGAGAACAATACTCCAAAGAAGGTCTGATCTGAGCTTTCTAAAGCATCAAAAGTTGCTGATGTGTGTACAGTTTTCTAGTTCTGAACAGTGTTCCAAGCTTTTGAGAAGCAGCCTTTGCAATTCCATCGACATGATTGAGCCAAGACATATTGGTGTCTATTTTAACCCCCAAGAAACTTATCGAAGCAAAAAGCGGAATTGTCTGTTTTTACATTATTATATACGGTTCGGAAACATTAATCTTTTTGGAGAAGGTCGTTTCATTAAAAAAGGAATGTATGCATCCATGGATGATTGAATAACTTCAGTGACTTTAGAAGCACAAGTTGATGAATCAATAAAGCGCAAACAAACATCTAGCCAGGGTAAATTTCGGAAATGGTCTTGAAGATCCTCCCATTCAGCTGATCTGTAATGCCAAACTTGGCACGGCTTAGAATGTTCCCCAACATTTATATGTAATTCAATCAACACTGAAATGAATTTGTGGTCAGAAAATCCCTATGGAGACCTTACAGTGACTGTGTAAATTTCTGGATTGGTTGTTAGGTATAGATCCAGAAGACTAGCATATTCTCCATCACGATCAGGAATCTTGATTGGCTCATTTATAATCTAAATAAGTCCGTTACCTATTGCAAAACCTCAGCTCAGTTCGTCGTTGATATTTGAAAATTTGGGCCATTCTATATTGTGGATATTGAAGTCACCAAATATGGAAATTTCCGCCCTGAGATGATTGATTTGCAGAAAGTCAATGTTGTTTGCAAGTAAAGAGAATGCTTTACTATATTTCGCTAGGTGGTTGATAAAGCCAACATTTGAATCTAGTGATCTTCTGTGATATTATTTTGAACCATATAACATCAAACTTTCGGGGTTCCAGCATTTCCTCTCGTTGACAGGAGGAATCGCTTCTGATAAAAAGAGATATTCCAAAGTTTCGTCTCAATCAGGAGTGGAAATCATAGATGGAATATGCGTGCGATATGAGTGCGAGATTATGAGATTATGATATGCAGATGTTGGTGCACTGAATTTATATTTGAGTTGAATCCTCTGATGTTGCAGAAATCGATTTTGAAGTTGCTGGTGAACCTCTTAGCAACTGCAATTACCATGTAATTTTTCGTATAGACTGATGTTAGGAAGAACCTGCTGATTGTCAGAAATAGTGGTTTTCGAATAACTTCTGCAGGATGATGCCCTTAAATCAGCTCCAACCCGGAGATCCCTTGAAACTGGGAACAGCGGCATGAAATGTTAGCACGAAAGCAACCCCACGCTGCTCAAGCCGTTGCGATGGTATCTCACTGGGCGATGCCTACCATCTATGATCTACGTCCGGACTTCAAATCGGAACGCATCGAGTGGCCGATATTAGAATAGCTTGGATATTTGACAAATTTTAGATATTTTCTAAGAATCACAATAATTACCACACCATAATAATCAGAATTGGTACTCTGTACTTTGATTTATGTCTAGAGTGAACTTTGCTCTTTGAAACAATAATATTTGAAAGAAATGTGCATCGTTTCAAGTGACTTGAAGTGGTTTTTAATGTTTTCAGTTTTGAATAAGTGATAATCCGAATGGTTAGTAAAGATGTAGATTGTGTATTTTTGCCCAATAGCCTGCGATTCTCTCACAAAACCATCAACTGGACACAGATAGGTTGGCATCTAATACGAACAACATAAAAAATCATATATTTGTATTAGCCGGTCCATTTACCAAGTGATACATCTAGAGTAGGCGGAGCCTCATTCTCAATTTTTTCTTGAAGTCATACAAAGAGTAAATTAAGATGTATACGCCGCTACATGTGGGTATTAATCAAATTAATTCAACAAATAATTTCAATCAAATCGATTCAACAAATATCTTCCATCAAATTTTTTCAACAAATAACTTCAATCAAATCGATTCAACAAATAATCTGGCAAAACTATTGCACAAAAAGGACACGATTATACTCAACCCTCATGGAAGTAAACAATAAATATTGAATTTAATTTGATTTTGAAAAATCTTGGCTGAATTCACTAAACCGTATTCTAAATATGGAGACCTAAAGAATGATACTTGCTTCTAAATAATGGTGAAAATAACAAACTTACCTAATTCATTCAACAATTCTAAAAGATTCAAAGCATCTTGATCTAAAGTCATATTAACATCGATGTCTGGAGATGGTTTTGTTGTTTCATCCAAGTCATTCCAAGAACTGTCATTCAAACTGAGTTCCAAGCTAGACGGAGTTTCGGACTCTATCATGGACGCATTTTTAATAGTTAAGTTTTCAGGTGTTTCCGCTGGATATACTAAAAAGGGATATTATAATAAAAAAATAGTCTCACACTGACTCTAAGACAAAACATAAAAAAAGACATTGAATATGGATAAAAATAACTGCATACAAAAACTTGTGCGCATAGCACAAATATAACACACTCATAATATGAACTTAGCATACAATACTGATATATTAAATGAAATTGTTTCAAATATGGCAATTATTTCAATATGTAGATAATTTAATTCCTTTTGTGAAGCAAAAGCATAAAATTTAAAAATTCATAACACATATAGGTGCGAGAAATATAATCTAAGAGCAGACAGAAAAATCAACAGACATGACATGTAATAATACTGTTTAATAAAAAGGGGTTCAGTTTGAAGGATATTCAAGAACAATTTGAACAGACCAAAACAAGTCTAACCCAGCACTCAAACGATTGGTAGGCCTAAATAACAACACCAACATATTTAATAATGGCGTTCATTTTAAAAATTGACAGTGTGTAATTTATAAAAATGATCTAGTTATTGCTTGGATTTTTCAACAACTACTTCATTCAATAAATTGATGGATGTATCTGTTACTACGTGGTAGGAAATCATAATGAAGAAAAGAGAATTGAAACTTTCTATGTTTTTTAACACTTTTATTTGTAACTAACGTTACTGCTGTTTCGTCCTATAATCTATAATCTTAAACATTAAATTTGAATCTATAATGTCCAATGAAGTTTGGAAATGTCCCTCATAGGACGAAACTGCAGTAACGTTAGTTACAAATAAAAGTGGTCAAAAACATAGAAAGTTTCAATTTTCTTTTCTTAACTACTTCATTGATAGTAAATGTTAGAATGCAATGATCAAAGGAATGGAAATGAAAGTCAGTAGTGAAGTTTTAAATTAAGAAAAACGTTGTGTAAGTGGCCACTGTTGGAGTGCGCCCGACTCACGATCGGAAGACTGTGGGTTCGATTCCCGCCTCGACCAGATATTTTTCTCGAGAGAATTCATCTGGTTGAAGCTGGACTGATTCTGATTAACGGAAAAACAGATTTTAAAATGATTTTTTTTAAACAGATTTGATGTCACGGGATATACATTATTATACTTTATAAACATATCTTTGTACAGTGGGAATTCCCAAGTGAGTTGAAAACCACTGTCCTCGTACTAATACAAATAATCCATGGGAATTCAAGCCAAATAATACTTTATCCCACATTGAGAAAGTATTGGAACTTGCTGTGTACTATCACCTATTTGGATATCTAGATAATAACAATATTTTACTAAAATATCAGTTGGGCTTTAGAAAACACCCCTCATGTGAGTCTACATTGGTGAGTCTACAAAATGGAAAAAATCAATTGATGAAGATTATTATGCTGTAGCTGTGTTTTTAGATCTGAAAGAGACTTTGAAAAGATTTATCTTCATATGTTATTAATTAAATTGTGATGCATTGGCATCAGGGAAACTGCTGTGGCTCACGGATTATCTATTTCAACGTGGGCATGTAACCAAACCCATTATCAACACCCCGCGAAATTGATTTTAGGATGCCTCAGGAATGTGTTTTGGGGCCTATTTTATCCTTAAACTAGTTGAATGACATAGATACCATTCATGGATGTGACTTCATTGACCGCATGCAGAAAATTGTTATCAATGTCAGTAGATAATATAGAAAAACTAATTGACGAAATGAATAATAGACTAGAAAATGTACCTATTGTATTCGAATCAGAATAAAATGTCTGATCTTATCAACTGGTTATAAGCTATTACTCATCAATAAGCAAAAGTTGAGGTTACCAATTGTAGGGGATGAAATAGAGTTTGTAAGTGATTTCAAATACTTAGATTTCATTGTGGATATTTGTCTATACTTTCAAGCTCATTTCGATACCATTCACAGAAGAATTACAAAAAAATTCTTCTAAAAATTCTAGTTTTTTTCACGAATTTCATTTCGTCTTTCAATGTACTCAGAGATTACTAATAGTCTTTTCTCATTTGATCAAAGTAAGGTATCTGCTTTACAAATATTACACAATTGTGGAATGAGAGTTTTACCAGAAGTAAGTAAGTGTACTAGTGTATCAGTTATGTTGAATACATTGCAGTGGAGGTCTGTTTCTCGAAGATTAAAAGAGATGTCAATAATCTTTATTTATAGATTGCTACATGATCTACTCCCATCCTCAGATGCATAACTATTCAACAAGAGCAAGTACCTCCCGTCAATTTCATGTTCCTCGAACTAATTTAACTAGCAAGACAAAATTCTCATTTTATTAAGGGCTGAAAGAGTACAATAAACTGCCAGTTTATTGTTTGTATAAAGATTGAGAAGTAGAGAGCCAAAACTTCTCTTACACAAAAATTTATCTCTTCTGAAAATATACCCCTTTCAATTTAAACAAGATGCCTATGGCTAGGATTGAATCAAATAAGCGAATGAATGTCAATATATACTGTCATTGATGACATGAGTAAACTCAGTTGTGACATAAAGTAATAATTTTATTAATAAATTGAGTGCTTCATCTTGTAATGTTATCCAGATTGGTGCTGAAGAGGCAATTGGGCAAGTGTCTTTTTTCGAAACATCAATGATCCATTGAGAATGACAGTCTTCCATGTAAGTAAAATTTTACCTTTTTCATATGCTATATTCTGTAGCAATCCTTTGAATAATATTAGATTCAATTCCCTAACGAATATTTAGAGTACAAACTGAATAGAAAGAAGTGTTTTTTTGTAGAATTCAATGTTCATATAAAAGGAGATGTTTCGAAAGTATCTTTTCTTTCATGTAACGCAATGTTTATATGAAAGTAGTTCTTTCAAAAGGGGTTTCCTTCCAGTTCGTGTCTGGAAGTTATTATTATGTTATTATATGAAGGGCCTGACCCATTTCAACAATTTTCTTTGCTGTGTTCATTTCAATGTCCCGAATGATGAAGCATTCAACTAAAATAGTCTATATAATAAGAAATAATGAGCTACTATATTCTCAATGTCAATAAGTTATAAAAAAACTTAATGCCGGAACTCTTTTTCACTGCAATCTAATTGACAAACTTGCTATAAATTATTTGGAAACGCATTGAACAATGACTATTTGTAATTGTCTTAAAGTGCTCCTATGTAACATCAACTAGAGAAAGGCAAGACCAAGACACTATATTAATTTCGTATTTCTAAAAACACATATTTTATCATGAACATGAGTAAAATGCTCATACCACGAGTCCTCCAGGGTTGAATAAAGAATCCAGTACTGCAAATATTCTACAAGATTGAAATAATGAAATAGGTACTGAATATGATTTATCTGGTGGAATCAGCCCATGCTTGATCCATAACATATTCAAGAAACACTTCATTGTGAGATTTTCACTGAACAGTTTCACAAAAACGCAACACGTGTTTCGCTATTCAATAGCTTCTTCAGACGTGTATTTATTAACTGTTAATAAAACACGCCTGAAGAAGCTATTGTATAGCAAAACACATGTTGTGTTTTTGTAAAACTGTTTAGTGAAAATTCCAATTTGGGATATTTATCATCCTCATATCTTCAAAATGATTGTATTTTATACTACAATTTTAATTATGTAGAAGGTATCTTACCTGATGAGTTTATTTTTTCAACAATATTCCTTTCTGTAGATAACATAGATAATCTGTCTCTCAAAGCCTGTTTATACACTGAATGTGACTTTGTTGGCTCAATATGTGTTCTGTTTAATTCTAATAAATGGTCAATTTGTGAACTCTCTCCTTTATTTCTTCTTCTCTGCTGTTCATCTGCCCAAAGAGATGAAATTCCTGGATTAGCTGCTATATTGCCTGAAGAGATCTCTTCTCTATTTACTATATTTTCTGCCAAACAATCCCCTTCAAGTTCACAAACTGTATTTTTTATAACTGTTGCTGGGAGAAGATCTTCCGCATTAATATTTTGAGATGGGTTATCAGGATTCCTTCTGAATTTTATTTCAGATACCACCATGCTACTCATGCCATGCAAATTGAAATCAATCATAAATTGTAAAGTGAAATTCAAATGGGCCTCATGGGGTTGATATAGTTTACCAAGAGTAGATTCATTCATCAAAAGACTGGCGACTTTGCGAACAAGTAGGGGATTATACAAATATATTTTAAAAAACTGGTGCTCCCTTAGGTGATACCCATACATGGGTCTGAAAAGCCAAGCAATAGGTATTACTAAAACCAAACTAAAGGAAATAATTGTACATACATGCCTTTAACCAAAGTTATTTTATATACATGTTGAGCATTGGATGAAGCCTGTTTCAAGGAAATATTAACAGCTTTATCTATACTAGCAGCAATTCTGTACATCAAACTATTTGCTTCCTGGATACCATCATAAGGAATATAAATGTAGGGAAAAACACCGTGAATGTGAACACAAATTTTTTCACCTACAATATATTTCATAAATAGAGTACTTCAGACTAAACAACAAGTTCCTACCTGTTGGTATAGATCCAAATAACCTCAAAATAGGAACTTGGTTTATTGAAGATCCTCTAAAATCAGAATACATTACATCTAGACCTTGAACAGGAGCACTCATACAAGAATCCAAACTTATGATTCTAACAGAATATAACTTCATTGTTCAATTTATTTGATAAAAATAATAAAAAGTTTTTATAAAAAATTTCAAACAAGAATATTCCAAAAATTAGATCTACTTTTGACTTTGACATTACTACCATCCGTCACTGTATTTGACATACGACAGTGTTGCATGGTGGATAAAAAATGGGTAACGTTTTCTCACAATCAATTGTAACAGATTTTCAATGGCCTCATTTAAGATGTAACCCCCGAATTGAGCTGGCTGATCGTATTAGCAATCATAATTCAAATGAAATTTTTTTATGTGGTTCATTTACTTTTGGTTAAAAATTAATTTTTCTGTGGTTATTTGCAATTGAATGGTTATTTGCGATTGAATTGACTCTCGAAGAATTTTTTTTGGTATAGTCGAAGTAACCGGTATTGTTCATACTTAAAGCACAGATTAAAGTCTCGGCGCCCTCAAAGGGCAAAAAAAAAACAATACAAAGGAATAAATCTGATGCCAACTAGTCCACGTGGACTGAAGAATTGGCGGTTCGTATTGAATGATTTTTACTAACCAAGTTTTATGATTGGCTGAAAAGTCATAAAATTTAATTTCAAGTCATGTTACGGTGACGAATAGAATGCGAGCCGTCGTGTTGTCAATGTTCAGTTCAGGAACTGATCGCGATTGAGTGTTGAAATTCGATATTGTAATATGTAAAATGTGGCATCCTTGGACAAGTACTAATAGTAATAACGAGTGTGGTAACAACGCAGACCTTTTCGTGTTTAGTGATTCCAATAGCGATGGTGAACAATGCGAAAATGAGATACCAGTGAATAAGATTCAGATGCATTTGAATATTGTAACACAGAGAGTACATTTCAACGTATATAAGAATCAACATCTCAAGTTTGGCTTCGAGGGAAACTAACTATTACAAGCAACTTCAAATTTAGCCGAAATTCCTTCTTCAACTGTACGTAAAATAGTCAAAAACAAACCTTATGAACGCAATACGCGATATGATACGGGATTACTAAAACCTATAGATGTTCATCTAATAAAATCATTAAAAAAAAACAGTATACGACTGTTACAAAAGCAATGAGATTCCTACAACAAAAAGCATAAGGGAAAAATTGAATATTTCCGGCCATAACGTGAGCTGTTGTGACAAAACTCTTCAGAATTGGATAAAGAAACTAAGATTTATATTTAAAATAATGAACAAATGTTAAGCAGTTATGGAAAGCAGAAGAACAGTGAAATTGCGTAACAAATACTTATAACAAATAAATATAGACAAGAACAACGGCAAATTCCATATAGAAACTTGGTATGACACTCAGAACATAGTTACGAAAGGGTGGACTGATGGTTCGAGAAAGGATCGCGACTAATTATTGTGCATTGCGGAGGAAGTAACGGATGGGTTCCGAATTCTTTGAAATTATGTGGAAAAAAACTTGGAGGACTGCAATGTTGACTATCATAAGTACATCAAAGCTAATATTTTCGAGGAATGGTTTGAAAACACATTGATCCCAAATTTGGATGCGAGTAGTGTATTAGTTCTTGACAACGCTTCCTCATTCGCGACAGCTCATCAAAGTACCGAATAAAAATTCGAGGAAAGATGAAATACAAAGTTTTTTAATGCATATCAATTTGTATTTTGAAGATTAATATACCAAAAACCAACTACTTGAAGTTTTACAGACAAAAACATTTGAAAAAGTGTATGCCCTTGAGAGTATTGCTGAAAAGTATGGACACACCATACTGAGACTTCCCCCCTATTTTTGTGTCTTCAATCCCATCAAATGATTTGGGGAAATCATCAGGTGTAAAAATAGTTTTCCAAAATTTGATAAGAAGGTAATAGAGCTAATTAAAGAAGAAGTATTTAATATTACCGAAGAAGACTGGCAGAAAAGGATCAAAAAAGTGATTTTAGTTGAAAAAGACTATATGGAGTTTGGACACTTCCATATTAATGGTGGAAATAAATTCATTATTGATTTGAATGACGACAGTGATAGTGAAACAGAGAATATGGAAGAGGAATTATCAGAAGCTTTCGAAAAAATTTAGTGAAGTGTTTTTGAAGCGATCCATTGTTTATATATGTGATTAAGTAGTATTCAGAAGTATTTTCAATTATCACCCTGTTGTTTGAATCCCTACTTTCCCACTCACATATATTAAAGAAATATTCATTTTGAAATATAATTTTATAATTGAAAATACTGAATACTACTTACTCACATATATAAACAATCGATCGCTTCAAAAACACTTCACTAACTTTCTTCGAAAGCTTCTGATAATTCCTCTTCCATATTCTCTGTTACAAGTAGTTATAAAATATCTTAATCAAATGGGAACTGGTCATTGGATTATACTGTATCATCCATATTACAAAATAATTGGTTCAGGGGTATGAGGAGATATGTGAAGAACAACTACAAAGCTGCTTCGAATGTTTATTAGCAAAGGTTCCCGATGAAAAGAAGCCAGGAATATTACACCCACCGAAAATTCCAGACAAACCATATAGATCACCTTGGACCTTGTCCTAAAAGTACCACAGGGAAGATGTACATATTAGTCGTTGTTTATGCTTTTTCAAGATTCGTAAAACTGTATGCACAGTCAGAGAAAACAATCACAAAAATTAAACTTATCATCATCAATTACGGTGCACCCAGAGATTAGCGACAGGGGAAATGCTTTCACGAGCAACGATAATACGCTGAGTTTTGTAAACAGTATGATATTGAACATAAACCCATTGCTGCATGATTTCCACAAACAAATGCTATGGCAGAGAGTAAAATAAAATCAATTGTATCTTTTATTGTAACTTCAATTAATTTTGAAGACGAGAAATAGGACAAAACATTTGAATGCAATGGAAAAGAAAATTAATGAATAAAACAACAGGCTTTGCCCTGCTCAATAGTTAATTTGGTAGAGAAGTAAGGTGAAACGAATGATCATGAAAAAATGATAAGAAAAGTTAAAGAAAATGTTACCAAAAGTCAACAAAAATATAAGATATATTTTCATAAAAAAAGGCTTTTCGTAGTTAAGTTCGACCTGGGAGATACAGTTTCCGTTAGAAAAACACACATTTTCACTGGCCAACCAACAAAAACTCAAAAGAAATATCGTGAACCATTTATAAAAATGAAAATTTCACCAGGTGATACACACAGGTTGGAGAAACTCAATAAACAACAAACAGTTTTTCGAGTTTAACTACAGTAGCACATGTATCACAAATAAAAGAAACATCGTAATCTTGAAGAAGATAATGATTCCGAAGAAGATGAAGAAAACAGATTTGTTCCTGAGGGAGTTGGAAGAAACAAAGAAAACAAAATTCACTTATCGAGGGATGATGATAGTGATAGTGAAGTCTGGATTACTGATTCCCAAGAAAGATTGGAGAAAAATGTTACGATAAATGACAACCAAAGAAATTAGATAATCATGAAAAATGAGAAATGAAACTTTCTATGTTTTTTTACTTTTATTTGTAACTATCGTTACTGCAGTTTCGTCCTATATGGACATATCCATGTAGTAACGATATGTTTGAGGACGAACATACATTCAGAATGGCTGAATGTTGTAATTTATTATTCGGTTCACCATATAGGTGCTTGGAAGAGCAATGTCAAAATTTTGGGAGAAATGTTATAGAGCTTGTTTTTTGTAATTGTCAAGTATTGTGTTCTATTTTCGTATTCTTTTTTATATATTGAAGTTAAATTGAACTTCGTTGAACATATCTACACACCCAGAATCAGAAACATTTAATACTGGCCGATATTTCTAACATATTTTTGAACATTTCTTCCCATTTTTTGCATATTATTCCAAAATGAAAAAGTCGAATCCGAATTCAACTATCAGAGAAAGAGATATTTCTGACGAAATATTTCAAAAAAATTGAAAGCAAGAGAACAAGCAAAAAATTCAGTGTTGGGAAAAAATGCATGTACAGCAGTCAACAGTCAAACAAGCGATGGTCTACGATCATCTCAATGAACTTTTTCCTGAAGTACGAAAAATCACTTACTATCAGCGCTAGTAGTTCGGTAGGGACAAACACTGCCTAATCCTCACATAAACATATGGTAAAGTACAATTGAAAAAGAATGTTTTTAACAGAAGAAAATGTTCCTGGAGCAAAACTAAAATTTGCAACTGTAAAGGATAACAATGTTGTAACATTAAAACGTTGGCTTGCATGCCGTAATTTAAAAGTAACTGGAAAAAAATTAATTATTAGACAGGTTAGTATACAGACTCTAGTAAAAGAGTAGCGGTGGATTCAAAGTGTAATAAAAAAAATTAAAATAATTATGAATTTCGGATTTATTTCCGAGTGAAATATGAATCAAATATAGATAGTTGGTAATGAAATGAATTTAATTAAATATAACAAATGAATATAATATAATAAACGATTGAGGTTATATCTCATTCTAATCAATGGTAATTAACTATGAAAATTTTACTATTCATTTCATGTTTAGAGTATACATATGAATATGTATTTATTCATTGCACTGTTGAATCCACTCTCCTCGAAATAGTATAAAAAACACGTTTTCTTCCGGATATCGATTATCCGACGTACAATTCGCAAAACAGCAATGCTCTGTTGGCATTATACTAGCAAAAAATATTTTTTCATGTCAGATTATTATTTTTAAATAATAAATTAATATTACGTAAATAACACTGTTTTACATGTGAATAGTTTATGTTTGTCCCTACTACTAGTGCTACTACTCGTGACACGTTCGCTGTAGTATTCTCAGGAAAAAGGCTCATTAAAAAACCTTGACACATGATTGGGCTGACAAATGACAAAATAGTTGACATTAGTGACATTGTTGACGTTGACATTGAAAAGATTACAGAGGTTGTAGGTTGTATTGCTATATTTGATAAAGTTCATTGTTTATAGTTAGTTATAATATTGTAAGGTGTTTATATTTTCATATTAGTATTGCTCTTTGCATAGTATAATGAGATAAACTCTGAATCAGTGAAGTGTTGGTCAGAATATAAATCCAAGATGCTGCAAATAAACAATATGGACGAGTTTCTCAATTCCGGGAAATATTAAATAGTAGCTGATTGTAGATATAGGTGGGAGTGACTCTTGTACTTTTCCGGAACTGGTTTCTGAAAGCAGGTAATTCAAACTTTAGTATTTTTGTTTTCATCTGTTATTACAGCAACTGTTCAAAACAGGTTTTTGTTCATTATTAAGGATGAGAAACAGGAAATCAGTATCTCCAGAGGCGGGTAAAGTGTATTGTGGTTGAGTTGTGAGGTACTTGTCCTTCATGGAAGTTGAATGATAAGAGATGAGAGAAATAAATTTTGTAGTTTAATTTTTCCCTGTGAATCCCTACTACTTATAGTAGTAATCATATTTGAAGGTTGTTTCATGCACAAATTTCCAAACAAAATTAGTAAACATAAGTGAGGGGAAAGTTTTCAAAATTTGAATCTTATAAATCAATCAAGAGTTGTATTTTGGAAATATTATCAAAGAAAGTTCAATGGTGATCAGAGGATTCTAGTGATATAGCTGAAACATTTAATAATTAATTTGTTGCAAGTAAACATATTATTACCGGTCACACCGATCTTCAAAAGGAATAGTCAATTCGATGAAGAAAATTATATATTTCTGTCAAATCTTGTTTCCTAGATAGATACTTGTGAACATTTTGATGATAGAAATGTTTCAGGGGAGCAGTTCATTCTAAAAAACAAAAGTCACTGTCTTTTAATACATGAGTTTTGTAGCTAAAATAACAAATGGTTGTAACAAGCATACATTGTTTCAAAATTTACAAAAAAAAACAGAAATCACGAAGTATAACCTACAGACATATTTTTTAATTCATATTTTTAGATTTTGATGGGTTAATCAAAAAATTTGTTATCCATGATTTACTGTATGTCCAGAAGTAAATGACCACTTTTTGGCTTTCTACTTCACCATCTTCATATAAAAAATGTGTGAAACTTTCAATGAATGATATCTGATTCAATTCCATAACAAATTTTTGGAGTACAGTATGTAAAGAGCTTATTTAGAACTTATAATCGCTTTCTTCCTCCCTTTGGAAGTTTCTCACATAAAGATAAAGAAATAGAAAGACAAAAAGCTTTTTTCCTCAAAAACTAATCTCTCTCATAAGTTATCTCCCTTTCAATTCAATGTGTAATAGTACAAATTGGTACAGGACACAAGATTGTTCGAATGTGCGTCATGAAAGAGATGGGGGAAAAACATAAATGATCAAATCAGTTGACTCTAAAGTAACAAAAAAATGTCATAGATGACATAAATCAACATGGCTACGATTTCATTAGATAACTTGTTTGTGGATGACATTTCGTCAAATCCTATTAGTCAAATTAGAAAAGTATGGTTTTAGGGACATCCATATAAATGGTTTGAAAGTTATCTTCTAAGTTCAATGAAATACGTTTGTATAGGTCAGTGTTTATTAAAATATTTCGAGTACTGTATTGGAGTACCACAAGACTCTATTCTGGGACCTCTGATTTATAAAATTTATGTTACCGAAATTTCATGTGTGCTGATGATATTTGCTTACTCGTTAATGGTAAAAATGTCACATCCACAGTAGATCAGGCTAACAGTGAAATATTAAAAGACGAGGATTGGTTTTCTTACAATAAACTGGGGTCCTTCTTAAAATTTAGTTATGCCCCATGAAGTAGGTGAAATCAATAAAATTTCTACCACTTACTCTTACTGAAGACTGTCAGTGGAATCAACATATCGATGAAATATGTAAAAAGCTATTGGTAATGTGATATTGTAAGTATCAACTCAGTAAAGTGGTTGAGCCTGGGGTGTACCAAAAGAGTGTTGTCAGAAACATTCAGATACTAAGTAGAAGCACTAGTTGCAGAAAACTATTCAAACTTTTATGATCCAGAATATTTTAACAATTTGCTGAATCGTATTAGAGAAATGCTGCTGAGAGAATTTCAAACATGACTAAAAAACATTTAATTGACAAATCCCATTACTATTGACGAGTTTATGAATGATTCATCAATATAATACACTGTTCAACTGTACTATGATGCACTGTTTGGAATCTTTGGTGTAGTAATGAATATTACTGGAGTTTTTCCCAACACCAAATCGTTATTTTTAACACCTCGACACGTGTTTCGATCACCAAGTGATCATCTTCAAGAGGAAGATTAAACTGTATGGTATAATTTTGTATAATAATATACTGTTTTTTTGCCCATTGCCTCATCGGCGTATTTGCACACGAAACTTCAGATCAAAAAAACTGCAGACCAGGACTGATAAATCTAGAAACAGCTAATAATCTGTAGGATAACAAAGTTACAGTATTCAGATCGTAACTTCTATTTGATCTACATTTCATGTGCAATGACATGTTTGGAGCACTTCACAGCGCAAAGCTCTGCGAAGAATATGGTTATTGGTAGGAAATATTTTGTAAAGACTTTTAACCAGTATTTGAATAAATTCAAAACTGAATAAAATGATTTGAAAAGACGTTTTCAAATATAAACAAGAACGACATAAGTAAGATGGTCAAGTCCGATATGTACTAAAAATTCCCGATCTGATGACGTCTATTCTTATACAATGATATTCTTATCATCGTATTGTGTACAAACAACTAGCTGATAATTTCTCTTCATGAAAAAGGATATAAAATTTAATTGAAGGGGTTATATTTTCATCAGTGAATACTTTTGGGGAAGAAAGTTTTTGGCTTTCTACTACTCCATCTTGATACAAAAAAAGAATGAGGGAATCTTCCAAAGAAGATTACACGAAAGATTTTTTTTCTTTTGTGTAATTCAATGTTTATATGAAAGTAGCTGTTTTAGGAGCACTTTCTTTCAGTTTGTATCTGAAAGTTACCTTTTTGCATGATCTACACATCCATGTATAGAGTTACTCATTTTCAAATTGATTACTTCCTTCCTTTCTTTGGAAGATTCCCTCATCTTTTTTTTGTATCAAGATGGAGTAGTAGAAAGCCAAAAACTTTCTTCCCCGATATAAAATTCTTTTTATTTTTTTTTCCTCTCACCAGTTGGTGGCTCAATAATTCTTAATAGGAGGAACATATTGTCAGAGATTGCCAATTTTATCAGAAACACATCTTTAACTAAGAATTGATGTCAGTTTTACGTCAACCGCTGATAATACCAAACGGCAGTCCATAACACCTATTATATTGACAAACATCTCTGTACCATCACTAGCTCGCACTCTAGTTAGAAAAACCTACTTCAAGAAACTCGAACTGAGTGCATCTCAAATTAACTCAAGATAGTAAGTCGAGTTGACCCATCTCTAATTATACAAATAAGAATTTAATGTTTTTGAAACTTAAAAGATAATGAGTATGAACTGTGACCCAGGTTTTTCAATATATTCTGATAGCCCACATCAAGTGCCAATAGCAAAATGTGGACAGATTTTCAATATGTCTGCGAATAAAGAAGATATAGGCAAAAAAATAATTTGGTATCCAAATCCACCCAAATCCACCCAAAAAGATACATTTTACAAGAAAAAAATCAAGAAATTATTTTTTTTTGCTTTGAAAGATTCCACATTATTTTGTATAAAGATGGAGAAGTAGAAAGCCTAAACAGGGTTATTTCTAGTTTCTCACTTCTTTATTATATTGATTTTCACGGGTATTTCATAAAGATGTGAATCTGGCTGGTTAATTTTCGAAATAGTTGAAAAAGATATACCGTTGAAATCAATTTGTGAAGTTTATTTTTCATCAGAATTATTGTTTCGGAATTCCCGAAGCATCTCTTTATCAGAATAGACATTACTTACCATATCGCTCTAATTAATGACGAAAAACTGTGATTTTTATGTGGATATTTCTCAATATCAACACGATTTTGTTTCATAAACAGTTGTTATAGTGTGTATAAAATTTGTATTAAAATCAGGGACTAAAATTATCATAATAATTTTGTATTTCCAGTCCACCAGCAACATTGTGTGGGAAGTGTAAATACAAATACATAATACTAATAAAAAAAGGGGGGAAGACAAGCTCATAATCTAAAACTAAAATGAATATATGTTATTCGTAGAATTCCTGTAATGTGTTGAAAAACATTTTTCCAATAAATTATTTTTAAACATTGTTTGGACACAGAAAAATTATTCAAGTCCTTTATGATCTGAAAGATATATCTTTGGACCAATGTATTCAGGACCACAAGTCCTTACTTTGAAAGCTAAGAGTAAATGTAAATAGTTCTTGGTTGTAGAATCATATTAATGACATTTTAAATTTGTTTTTGAACACATACATACACCGTTCAAAAATATAAACCAATGTTTAGAGTTAAGATACCATACTCTTTCAAATGTGCCTCACATGACTTTCTGTCAGTACAATTTGCTATGCACCTTACTATATAATAATACTAATAATATCGTCTTCATTATCTTCTAATACATTTAATGCAAATTATTCAGGTACAGTTCATTTATTATATGAAGATAAAAGGCGAAGTTCAATTTATATGATGACATGTCATCATATCAATAGGGAATATGCAGACAATTTTTTAATTTTTTTAATTCAATATTCACTTCATTTTGATATAGAAAAAAAGAAACAGCTGTAAGAGTAGTAATTATTTTTTCATAAAATCTTGAAAATATTGGTTTAATTTGACAAGTTCAAACGCTCCTATTTCTCGTGCGCTTGAGGCGTGACGTCATAGGGCATGTCCTGTCAGTTTATTGTTTACATTGAGAGTTAGTTTGATAGTTAACAAGGTGTTTTAGTTTAAATATCGCGTAATAACCATGGAAGAAGAAAAAAAGCCATTTTATAGATATTGCATGGTACCAATGTGTCCGAACACTATAAAAAGTACACCAGATAAAGTTTCATAACCTTATTTACGTATGTCATACAATGAATGTAAACAACATTTGAGGTTACATTGAGGGAAATAATTTTATAAGTGCATGTATGCATAAAAACAGATTTACTAGATTAAAAATACCATGTTTTACAATAATTACCTTGCAGCTTTTACTACCTTAACCTCAGCAGATGTAAAATCCGGGTTTGACGCAAAATATGTGGTCAACATGAATGCATCTATTTTTGGAAGATTATCCGACTGTGCTTTCACAAAACCGTTGTCTGTCATTGTTGTTGATGACGCTTAGTATTTCTTGACATTAAAATATTAGAAAACTAAGCTCGAATAGCAATACAACCAATTTTTCTCTACAACACAACCTGAATGTATGAAAATAAATCACAGGTTACTGACAGGACATGCCGTATGACGTCACGTTTCATTTCGACCAATGGTGGGGCATTTTACAAATTTGAATTTCGCTCGTAAATTTTTCATTTTTTGATTTATGTTTTAAATAATTAAATACATATTAAATTAGAAAATAACAAATTGAGTGTAATACTAGGACCTTAAAAGCTCAGGAAAAAAAATCAGGCCATTTTATTTTTTATGCATATTCCCTATTGCTCCCCGACTTTGCTTTTGTACTTACTATGTGCTTTTACTTGTGGGAAATATATATTGAGCGACTGACTAGTTTAAATGAAAAGTTCATTATAGGTTTGGTTCGTCAATAAGCTGAATAAATTTATAACTTTTGTAGCATTGTCCAATAGAAGTGCCTGCAAGAAATAGAGTGTTTGAATAAGTGACACAGTATTGTTTGAAAATATCATTGAAGACATGAAATTCTAAAGAGTAATAATATTTGTGAATGGACTGACCTGTTACTTGATGAAAACTAATAACATTTTATCAATTACAGAATTTTCTCAAACATTTTTTATAGACGCGTTTCGCTAACACCCTAGCTTCTTCGGTGGAAATATCTAGAAACAAAAATTCTTGTGAAAATTGCGTAATTATTATCATGGATAGTAATAATATTCACCTAGAACCTTGGGATATCTAATATGTACGCTCTTAGTGGAATCAAATGTGCCAAGTCACTTGAACACTTTCCGTCAAAGTATCTATAGAAGAGGGACCAATCTCCAACCTTTCTTCGATGTTCCAGACTATCAAGGTTTCAAGTGATGTTCGTTTTCTGATTCGGAACAGTTTTCCAATCTTTTGAGGAGCAGCCTTTGTAATTCCAGCAACATGATTGTGCCAAGGCGTATTGGTGTCTATTTTAACCCCAAACAAACTTATCGAAGCGGGATTGTCTGCCCTGACATTATTATATCCGGTTCGGAAACATTTATCTTTTTGGATAAAACCGATGCCTGGGTTTTTGTGTCATTGAATTGAACCTGGTTACTTTCACCCCAATTCGAAATAATTTAGATATCTTCATTGATATCTTCACCGCCGGTGAAGATGTGCATCAGCAACCAATGTCAGCAAAGCAATATATTAGATTCTTGGTTTTTTCCAATGAGTCGTTGATATACATAGATCCGCAACTGCTTTATTTCTGAGATACAGAATGTCTAATTGAAACTGTTCAAGTCTGGGGATTTAGCTGGCCATGACTCTGTTTACCCACTTCCTATCTAGCGATAACGAAATTTTTGGTTTAAAGATTCGCGTGCCAGAGCATTGAAATGAGAACGTACACCATCGTGCATAAACCACATTTGATTTTGCATTAAAATAGGAACATCTTCTAAGATAACTGGCAAAATATCTTCAGGAAATTGGCAATAAGTTGTCCATTTAATCTACGTGGTAAAAAATCTCCAATCAGGTAATCTTCAATAATTCCAGCTCAGACATTTAATGAGAACTGCTCCTGGTGATGAGAATCCACGATTGTATAAGTATTTTTCTCTGCCCAAAAATGATGATTATTAAAATTTCTGATCCTGTTTTTAGTAAAACTAGCTTCATCCGTGAATAAATGTTTCCTGTCAAATAAAGAGATTTTGGTAAATTTTTGGAGCAACCATTGGAAAAAATTCACTCATAGGGAATGCTTCGAGGAAGTAGAGCCTGAACCCGTTGAATGTGAAAGGGATATATTAAATGAATTTATGCAGAATCATCCATACTAGAATATGGGCTATATTAAAATTATTGGCAACTTGCCCCATACCTATTTCAGGAATATGATTTTTTTTAAATCATCCAAGAATTATCGCCCTTCAGGATCAGCATTCAATTGAGAGTCACCTTGTAAATAATGAGTATATTACAGCCAAAGCATTTAAAATGTTAGGATTCATCAATAAAGCATGTGAATACTTTGATTCAAATACTCTTAAGTTATTATACTTATATATACTATTATACTTATTATATCTTGGTGATACTTCTGTTGGAGTATGGTTCAATCATCTGGAATCCCTATTATGAGATTCTTAAAAAAACAAACTGAAGCTGCACAGAAGATCTTTTTAGCGCATTTGAGATGGGTCTCAGAAGATTATTCATATATAAGTATTCGTACTCAACTCATTTTATTAACATTAAAGTATTGAAAGTAAATAATTATATGTGCTTTAAAAAAATAATTTTACATTTAATATTAACGATGATGAAATGGTATCCTTATTGTTACAATTATTTGTGAGGTAAAAATACATAATCAATCCTCAAATTGATACTATTGAAATCACATTGATTTGTTCTCATAGACTTTTTTTTTCAGGCAAGATGAGAGTCGTTGAAGCATTACTGATTTTTCTACTGGGAAATGAATTTGTATCGACGTCACCTAATAAATGCAGAAAAAGTGAACACTGCCGATGTATCAACACATCTGAAGAATATGAATACCAATGTGGTTTATCAAACAAAGACAACGTGGTTATACATGCAGTACTTGATAAGTACATAAAAATAGACTGTTATTCAACGGAATTTAATGTCAATATTTTACCTAACTATACAGCCGGAAATATTGAATTTTTCGAATTACGATTCTGTCCGTTGACCCAAAAAGACTTCTCTTCTGTTCTCGAAAAGTTTAGAATTGACAATTTAGAAAATCTTCATTTGGAAGAGATAACTTTATGGAGAAACTCATCTGAGGAAACTAATCCTATTACTAAAGATTTCTTTCAAGGCCTTTCCTCTTTGCGAATTCTTGATATTTCCATGTTAGACAGTACCATTGACGTCGAAGCATTCCAAAACCTCTCCAACTTAACGAATCTCTACTTGGAAAATAATTATATTCAAGAAATAGGTGGAATGTTTGAAAGCTCAAAATATCTCAAAGTTTTACACTTGTCACGCAATGCTATTTCACACATTCCTAATGGTACATTCCAGAATCTTGTAGAGTTGCAGCAACTACATTTATGGAAAAATAATCTGACTGGAATAACAAAATATGACTTTGCTGGCTTGAATCATTTGAAATCTTTGGAGCTCAGTAGAAATTATATCCAGTTTATAGACAATGATGGATTTTCTGATCTATCAGAGCTAATTAATATCAGTTTGAGAGAAAATCAACTGGGTCATATAAATTCTAGTATTTTCAGGCAAAACGGAAAACTTAATAGTATTCGAATGGATTACAATCCCAATGTAACCTTGGATGACTATGTTTTTGCAAATTTGAAAAATTTGTCTATGGTAAATTTGGCACAATCAGGATTGAGAATAATTCCAGAACATGTTTTTGAAGGTTCTGAAAATATAGAGACCCTAATGCTGCAAAATAACTTTCTGCAGGAGTTGCCAGAGGGATTATTAGGTGGTTTGAAGAAACTTAAACAACTCAACCTGAGCAACAATAACATTTCGTCAATTCCTGATACTTTACTGTCTTCGCTAGTGGACTTAGAGGTCTTGGACTTGGAAGGAAATTTGATTTCTGAAATCAATGACAAAATATTCAAGATGACAGAAAAACTCAAGAGACTGTATCTGAACAACAATCGAATAACAACAATCATGCCAAATGCTTTCAAAAATAACAAAGAATTGATTCATATTGATTTGTCTAATAATTTGTATGATATGAAATACGATTATATGTTTGAATACAATCCATTCACAACCTGTAAACGTTTGGAAAACTTACTATTAAGTGGAAATCTTATAGATGAATTTCCTTCATCCATCATGTACATGGTTCATCTAAGAAAATTGGATTTAAGTAAAAATAATATCGAATCTATAACGGTAAGTGAATTTTAGTGTGAATAAATGTTATTGTTCTTTCTATCTGGTATTATAATTATATAACTCTCACTAAAAAACAAGGATATCATGAGATTTATTTATAATCTTAGACATTTCCAAAATGAAGAGTCCACTAACTATTGAAATCTTCATATTTTTTAATATGTCACAACAAATATTATTCAGGTGAAACTGTAGAGATGCATCTAAGGATGTATTCTTGCGGTTTGAATAACATGTGCAGATATTGAGTTGTTCATACTGCAATACCCTAATTAATTCTAGATGGATCTCTTTCAAAAGGAAGAGTGACCACAGCTTTCTTCTCTGTAACATCGATCAAGATGAGGAGCTCCTCAGTTGTCCAACTTTTGAATAAACCTACAGGACTAGGTGCTGCAACAATGAAGCTACTTACGGCCTCTTCAAAAACGGAATATATTATGAATCTAGCATCAAACTCTTGAGCAGGACAGAAAATAATCTTCCCCTGAGTAGGTCCTGCAAATAACCTGAGTCCTGGACATCTACTATATGACCCCTAACTGTGCTCCCTGTAACAAAGGAATAAGATAAAGCTTCTTAGTTCTCCAGCTTTTGAGCTGAGTTTACAGAGGAGATAGAGGTTGATCAAACGACCCCACCTGTCCTTCTTGTAACATTTGATCAAAAGTGGGAGCTTCTCATTTCTCCAACTTTTGAACAAATCTAGGAGGTTCCTACTAGATTGAGAAAAATTTACCATATATTCTTCAGTATTGAATTCAGGCCTTTGTAGTAGACCACATACTGTATTCCTGCCCCACCGTCAACTGGATTGGGTTTCGAGGTTTTCAGTGTTTGGCAGAACTCTTGCTGACCTGAAAGATCTCTCACCAAATAAAGCAATCTGCTTCATTGAGAAGCTGGATTTATTTGGTTGAGTTTGAATGGTTATGAGTCACAGTAAATTTGCGGGGGTTACAGTGGAGGCTCGAATAGACCCACTCACTTAAGACCTACATACCTATATCAAAAAGAGATCGCCGTACAAACGTGAATCGACCCAGGGTCCTACAATTCACAGGATTGCTACTATTTTGTGTAGCAAACCTACACAATATACTATATTGTGTAGCAATTCTATGAATGATTTCTGATTCAATTCCATTACGAATGTTTTGGAGCACAAACTGAATAGAAGAATGTGTTTTTTGCCTAGTTAAATATTCATATAAAAGTGTTTATTTCAAATGTACTTCTAATTCCATTCGTATATAAAAGTAGTTGTTTCGAGAGGGCTTTTTCTTCCAGTTTGTATTGAAAATTACTTCTATGCATGATCTACACATCTTTGAGAAAAATTTATTTTGAAATTATTTGCTTTTTTCGAAAGTTAGCCACATTTTTTGTATGGAGATGGATAAATAGAAAGTTTAAACCTTTCCCATATCAGTAACACTTTGAGTAAGTGTCCTGACCTAGGGGCTTATGTAGGGAGTTATTTGAATATTGCAATTTATCAAAATTCTGTGACAAAACTAGCAGGTTGGTTGAAATTTTTTTTTTCTTGACTTCAAAGGAAATATATTTGAAGATTATCTCTGCTCATTTAGTTTCTATGATTTATCTTCTTGATCGTATGTTTTCAATATTGTTTATAAAATACCCAGGTCCTGCTGCACCCTTGTGCAGCAGGACCTGTGACTAAGTCATCTGCATAGCCCATTAATTTTTATCCATTATGGTCTGGAAGATGTAGTAACTCATCTAGTATAAAGTTCCATAATGGTGGGGACAAAACTCCTTCCTGAGGACAGCTCCCTGAAACTTGTTTCTTCCATAACGGTCATGTTTACCAATCTTCCTCTGAGCAAGCAGGTTTATGGACTTCTAGCAGAATCTTCCAGGATTGGCTCACTCCAAGGCGTTTATTCACCCTTCGAAGCTTGATACCAAACAGTTGTTGGACTACAGTAGGGATGAACTACGATATCTAACAGGCCTTCTCTCAGGTCACTGTCATTTGAATCATTATATGCAGAGACTCGGACTGTAGGAAGACAGTCCGAGTCTCAGGACCGGAAGACAGTGTATCGCCTCTGTTTGGAAAATGATGAAACAAGCAGAGCACATACTTTGTGCCTGCCCCGCTGGGGACCGAATCAGGTTTTAAGAGTTTGACAGAGCCGTACTCTTACCAGCTGACCTGAAAAACCACTCACCATAGAAACTAATCGGCTTCGTTAAGAAGCTGGGTTTATTTGGTCAAGTGTGAATAGGTGTGGACCACAATTGACCCTTGCGAGTTGCGGTGGAGGGTCGAATAGACCGACTCACTTTTGACCTAACCTATCCTAAGCATACAGTAAATCAACCTGCAGCTAGTGTCATCGATCCCTCTTCTTTTTGGCATCCGGATGATTGATTCTATGGACGTATTAAATAATGCGCCCTCAATATCTAAGAAAACAGCTAAATGTGTTTCTTTGTTGCTTAAAGCATATTCTGCTTTTTCACTGACCCAGCAGTTTTTGTTGACATACCTGACTAAACGTATTGGTCTCAATGCAGTGGTCTGTCAGCCAGAATGATGTGTCTGTCAAATAGTTTTTCTAATGTTTCAAATGAAAATGACATGATACTTGATTGGTCTAAAAGCCTTCGCCAAATCCTGTCCGATTTTACCAAGTTTTGGTATGGTGGCCCTAATCAGCCTCTCTATGTTTTGGGTATGTATCCTCTTAGGTTTATTTCCTAAGTTTAAAATGTCTATTATTTTCCATTATAAACTGTAGTAAATGTTCACCTCTTTCATTGGTGTCGGTAAGGTAAGGTGGTGTGCATTGAAATCACAGCCACTTTTGATCTGTGCTCCTTCTGCTCTACAGGCCCCCTGCTAACTCTTCCACTTCCCCGATTGATAGCGTTTCAGAATTGTCATAATGGAGGTGAGCTAATCGGATGATGATTTTCTCAGGTCCTCCATCGATGGCCGTCATCAGTTTCAATAACGTTAAGTACCTGAATCAAAAATTACTCATCAACAGTATGTTTATTCCTTCACGGATTATTGAATGAAAGCAATATCAAACCCCCCATACCTTAGCAGGTACTGCCGAAACCCCCTTCCTACGCAGTAGGTTTGTTTTTACTGCTCTCAACATTAGCGCCGATATCGTGACCTTGAAGGTTACATGCCCAGCTTATAGTAGGCTGGTGTTGATACATTATTCTTTATATTATGTCATATCTTTCTAAAATGTGTAAAATTTTGTTGTAGGTGACTGAATTAAAAAAAGTAACATCCAATGAATTAGAGGTAGACTTGTCTAGCAATAAAATATCAACAGTGAATTTCAAGAACTCAGAACATCTTGCACCAGATACAGTTAAGGAATATGACGCAATGAATAGTATCGAGTATCCAACAACTGTTCTTCTGTCTAACAACTCATTGATATGTGATTGTCGAATCTATGATCTGGTCCAGTATCTTGAAGACACTTTCAACCCTGCAGTTAAGGCGATGGTTGATTTGAGAATTGGAGATAACAATTGTGCAGAGCCAGATTTATTTCAGCACATAAAAATAGAAGATCTTCGCCCCAAGGATATAAGCTGTAAATATCCTCTGAAATGCGAGACATCGAGTCACTGCCAGTGTTTGTATCGACCCTTTGACAAATCTGTTGTAGTAGATTGTTCATACAGAAATCTCACGGAGTGTCCCAGAATTGATGTGGATTTCAGTAGAGTGGAGATGAACTTAGTAGGAAATATGATACTTTATGGTCCAAATGCCAGTTTAGGCTATGACAATGTGACTAATATATTTTTGTCAAATAATAGGATTGAGCAGATCAAATGGGTTCCTCCTGAAATCGAGGTAAAATCTTCATTAATTTTACTGGCATTGATTTTAATGACAGAAGTAACAAACATACTATATTTATAAATTTCAATTATTAAAAAAAATGGGGTATCATTATTTCTTATCCGAAAAATAAATTTTTTTTTTTTTTGTAATGAGTAATCTCAGGCATTTTAAAGATGATAAGAGTATAACAGTGTTTGAATTTGATTTTGAATGGATAATTTGAAGAAATATGTTGCCTGTCTATGTTTTTCACAATAATAAGAAGACCTGCATTTCTAATACTGCATTCATTCAAAGGAGTAATATCTATATATCACAATAATTAGATAGTATTGTATACCAATGGATTGAGATTCCTGCCAATGACATATTCTGAAAAGCACAGTGATTCGTACACGAAAAATTTAGAACAAAAATTAATTGATAATGATTTTTCCATAAAAAAAATCAAGTCACCTTCACTTTCCTTTATACCTACCGTTTCCGACACTGATTTATTTTTGAAAACAAAACAATAAATCTCCAGGATGTACAGTGATATTAATGTCAAAAAGCCCAACTCTCATTGTATTCCAAATTTGCCAACACATGTATAGTTCTTTTTTGCATTACAAAAACACTGCAAACTTCAGAAGATTGACCCCAGTGTACTATAGAATACCTCAGATGACTATGAACTAATGCAAAATATAGTTGTCCTAGTATGTTTCTACTACATTGTTTTTTAGCAGTTTTTAAGGCATATATATTTGTAGCCAGTTTAGTGCAAAAAATTCAATATGTTTGGCCTAGTTGAGGGTACAATCAAATAATAACCCAAGTAGTTTTAATTATTCTCGATATTCAGTTGAATTTATTGAGATCTGTACACGACACAAAGTGTGACATGAGAACTAGGAACAGTGACAAAGGTCACATTTCAAACAGTCCATTGTGTACCTTTTTATGAATCACTCTGTTGAAATTATCGGGACCTCGCACGAGATAATTTCCCGCAAATTTCCACCCAAAAGTTTACTCTGCTAGATATAAATAGAGTCTAGTTTTAAATTTACTACCTGCAGATATACCAATTTTGATTCCGTAAGCTATTAAGTCCATCGATAATTTATACTCTTCAGCCACACCACTTGTCAGTTCAAGGTCAGAAATCAAAGCAGTTAATATTCAAAGAATGTAAACTTTCACAGCCGCAGATAACTGTGCCAAAGCTATTTTCCGGGTTTTTTTGGTCCAGCTTGATTTGATAACTCCAGACAAATTCATCCCCCTATTAATTAGTATTGATCTACTTTCAGTTATTAACGTAACGCCCATGGTCAATGAGTATTATTATGATTTTGAAAACGCTGACTTTAAATCTATCTAATATTATTTGGGTGACTATTATTAAGGCATTCTGGAATTTATTCTACCAAATGTGATGTATCATAATAATAATAATATCGTATTATAATAATAATAATATCGTCTTTATTGTCTTCAAATACATTTCAAGCAAATTAATCAGGTACAATTCAATTTTAATATGAAGATAAAAGGCGAAGTAAAATTTGCATGATAACAAATCATCATTGTTCTTATGAATGGAGAAAATGTAGTATGGGGATTGAGCATGCCGATAGTGTAGTTCAGTGTACTCTGTGACAACTGTCCGAATTACGAAACTGTTAACTCTTCTCTCTTGTCCGTTTTTAATCCGTGCCTGACAATTTCAGAAATCTATGAGAGATTAAATGGTTCTTAATTTGAAGATTTGAGAGATTTGAATGATTCTAAAGGTCCTGTTTCTGATGGTATTCCTCCATCATTATTGAAGCACTAGAGCTTCAACATTTTCTCAGTCAATAAATCAATTCTCACTCAATAATGTTACAGAATTAAAACACTTGAGGTTACTTCTAGACAACTCACTTCCTAAAGATTTGCATCTCAGACTTCACCGATATCAAATGCTTGAAAACTCTGCTTTGCTCACTGGTTAGAAGTCATCTTGAGTATTTATCCTCCGTTTAGAACCCATCATATGCAAGCCACATCCATCCAGTTACATTTTCTCAACCATACTGCAGAACTAATCAGAACTTTAATTCCTTTGTACACGGACTACAAGAGCGGCAAGACGGATTTTTTACTTCTGCATCTGAGTTTCACAGGCAGCTGAATTCGGGGTGGAATATATAGTTTCTGCAAACGTATTTTTTGACAGAACAATCAATTCAATTACATGTTTTCGATTATTGTGTGGTATTTTCAAACATTGACTAAATTTAATGTGGTTTCTATGTGTGTTTTCTTCATTTGTATTTTTGTATTGTTTTATAACGCTTTTCAGTCATTTGTTTTATTTTTTTTTCAATTGTACTGAGTGAAATGTGTTGTCAACCCATAAATAAATAAATAAAAATAACACGTCATGGGGTTCAGCAATTCTAATGAATCTATCTATACTAATATAAATGTGAAAGTTTGTGAGGATAGATGTATGTATGTATGTACGCCTAAACGACTGAACAGATTTAGATGAAACTTTACATAAATACAGCTTATACATCAGAATAACATAAAGGCTACAATTTACAAAGGTTTTGTGTAATTTTGGTTATAATATAACGATAAGTACAAAGAAAGTCGGAAAAAATCTTGCTCCCTGAGAGTTATCTTGACGTGTGCTGCCTATACCGTTCGAGTTACGTGTATGGTAAGATTGTTTATCAAAAATAGTTCTAAATAAAAGTCCGCGATAGCATATATCTACCTCTTGAGTGATAGCCACTATATCTAACATACTGAGCCATAAATAAATACAATTGAATTGGATACTTTTTTGCAATGCACATTTTAGAATATGTGTCAAATTCTTATAAAAATTGTCGTTTCAAGTATTTAATACAGGTAAACTTTGTCTTTTACACTAAGTAATTTGGACGAATCGTTTAAAAGTTAGTTATCACGATAAGATTAACTTGATGCAACCCAGTAAGCCATTGCGTGTCGCGTCTACTGTAAGACAACGGGAGACGATGCGCGGGGGTAGAGGGGTGGTCTAGGCAATGAAACACCATCGCCGAGAACGCGACCCGAACGCGGGCAGACGCGTGAGGGCAGACGTCGTAGATGGTTGTGTTAGTTTTGCGAATTTCTTTATAGATAACATAATTCGATTCTCGAAGATATTCATTACTTGGTGCAGTTGGCATATTTTTTCAGTAACTGTATTTTTAAAGTAAAAACATAAATTGCTAGCTGTTGCCCGCGCTAATATTAACGTACAGCTGAAGCTACTGAACCTAGAATCTTGAAATATGCAGGTAGGTTTTTTGTATAGCGTAAATAAGCATCAAGAAAGGGAATTGAGAATTTCCATCCCCAAGAGGGAAATAGAGGGGTTCAAAGATTGTATTGAATTTCGTCAATTTTGAAGTTGGAAACCAGAATTTTTGAGTTAATAAAAAAATATTCTATTTGTTTGAAATGTCACGAAACTTAATGTGACCAACCAAATTTTACGCAGGCGAAGCCGCGGGCAACAACTAGTAAAACATAAACATAAGGCTGCATACAAAAATGTTTATGTTCACTCCTTGAACAGAAATCTTTAATTCTTTTGGTACCTGATTTTTTCCTTTATAAAGATAAATAAATATGAAAGTGTAACTTTAAAAAAATATTTAACAAAATTGTAGAAATAATCTTCATATTCATATTATTTAAATGGCTGTTTTTTAGGTTCTCAAATTGGATGGTAATCATCTGACACATTTAAATACTGATGTTTTGAAAATGATGAACTCATCTTCAATTTTAACATTATCCAACAATCCGTGGACTTGTGATTGTTCTGCATTCGAATTTCAGAATTTTATTAGGGGTAAATTCGGCAAGGTAAGAAATTCAAAATACGTATTGATAAAATGATAACAATGGAAATCATATTTTTATTATGGAATTTGATGGGCTGGTTCATTGAATTTGTTACATTTTGTTCTGTTCATCAACTTTCACAGGTGCAGAACAAAAACACTGTCTCTCGACGCTCGTTTCGTTAACTAAGTTAGCACCATAAGAAGATAATAGTAACTTTGTTAGCGAAACACACGTCGAGAGACAGTGGTTCCAAATTCTATAAAATTTTTATTAGTGTTATATTGGTGAATTAGTATAGTTTATTGTTTATACTCTTTTTATTCTAATACAGAAAATATTTCAGGAAAGCAGGAGTATTATATGCAAGGAAGACGGCAAACCACTAATTGAAAAAATTCAGCTCTGTGAACCCATTGCCACACTTATTATGAAAATTGTAATTCCAATCGCAGTCATTCTTGTTCTGACGGCTATAGTATTTGCTCTATACTTTCAATACGAACAAGAAGTTAAAATCTGGCTTTATGAGAAGAAGTTATTTCTTTGGCTTATTACTGAGGAGGAACTTGACAAAGATAAAATTTGGGATGTTTTCATCAGTTACGCTCATCAAGATGAAGATTTTGTTGTACAAAATTTACTGTCTGTATTAGAGGAAGGTCCGAATCCATTTAAAACTTGTATTCACATTAGGGACTGGGGACCATGTAAAACAATCACAGATCACATTTCATATTCCGTAAACAATTCTAGAAGAACTCTGGTGGTTCTCTCAAACAACTTCTTGGAGAGTGTTTGGGGGAAAATGGAGTTCAGAGCGGCTCATACTAAGGCAATCGAAGAAGGAAGAGCTAGAGTAATTGTCATTAAATATGGTGAATTAGATGAAGATAAGGTTGATGACGAATTGAAGATGTACCTGAAAACTAATACCTATGTGGAGTGGGGAAAGCCTTGGTTCTGGAGGAAACTCCGATATGCTCTTCCACATTCCCACATCGAAAATATACACAGAAATCAAAGACACACCAACATGATGTTGAAAATTGATGATAAATTCGAGCTTACAACGCCTCCACCAATTCATCCTGACAGTACCCCTCCAGTTGTATCTTTAGACCCTTCTTTGCTCAAAAGTAACCCACTTAATTTTCAGCATTCGAACAATTCAGAAACACCCCCTGCTGAAATGCCACTAGTCAAGACTCAATAATTGAGAATAACTTTTATGGTATGAATGAACAGTTGATCTCCTCTGGAGCATATAGCTTCAACAAGTGAAACTTTATTTCAAACTTTGAATTTCAATGGTAGATTAAGAATCAAATATCACAATGGTGCTTTACGGTTTTAGGTATGTTAATCTGTGTATAGTGTTGTTGTTTATGTATAAGTGGATTGAATGGTGTCAAATCAACTTTGGAAATTGAAATGAAAAACCTCAAAAATTATGAAAGTTAGATATAACTATCTATTATTTCTTTCAATAGCCTCAGTTGAACTTAGAAATATAGAATTATTTATCCTGACGGTCAAATAATTTCAAGTTGTATCAGAGGATACGTTTCTTTGGTTTCGTTTTTTTTTTTATCAAAAAATCTGGACAATTAATGAGTAAACCAACTGACTTGAAATAAGGCATGTAGGCTTTAGGGCAAACACAGTCAAAGAACACAAAGTCACAAAATTACCAGGTTATCGAAAACAGTTATAGTAAGCGCCAAACGTGTTGGCGAGCGACCGCGCAGGTATAGACTCTCCCAACTAAATTACTATTGGATTACGAAAAGCCCCTAGGGTAGCAAATGAAACATGACTTCTTTGTAATTTATTTTCATATTATATTTAGTATTATAGGTAGTAGTACAGTTCGTTAAAATGCTATATANCTAGACATACTGGCCTGGAAGGCAATGCTGCTGACTCCGTTGCAAAAGAGGGTGCTGCAAGTAGCTTCATCGGAACAGAACCGGTCATTGGCATCACTTCAGGTTTTGCCAGACAAACATTGAACACCTGGATGACAAGAAGATTTAAAGACTTCTGGCAAAATCTTCCAGGATTGGCTCACTCCAAGGCGTTCATTCACCCTTAGAAGCTGTAAACCAATCAGTTGTTGGACTACAGTACTGTAGGGATGAACTACGATGTCTAACAGGCCTTCTCACAGCTCACTGTCGTCTGAATCATCATATGCAGGACTCGGACTGTCGGAAGACAGTGTGTGTCGCCTCTGTTTGGAAAATGATGAAACAGTAGAGCATATACTTTGTGTGTGCTCCGCTGCGGTCCGAATCAAGTTTTTAGAGTTTGGTAGAACCGCACTCTTGCCATCTGACCTGAAAGATCACTCACTATATAAACTAATCGGCTTCATTAAGAATCTGGGTTCATTTGGTCGAGTTTGAATAGGTGTGAGCCACAATAAATCCTTGCGGGTTGCGGTGGTGGGTTTAGTAAACCTACTCACTTTTGACCTAACCTAACCCTAATACTTAAAAGTGGCCAGCTATACTATGTCAAGTTGGTACTCCAATTTTCAATTTTGTTTACATTTGGGAATAAACTGATATTGAGTGAAACATTTTTTTTGCATTATAGTCCATAAATTAAAGATTTGAACAAAATACTAGCGACAGATTTGGATTCTTACACCATCTATCAACTATCTATCTACATGTGTAAAAAGTTGAGTCAATCTCATTTTTCTTGTTCGAGAGTTTTCGATAAAACAAAAGCAAATCAGTGAAAACATCAGTTTTTTTATGCATCTTGGGTAGTGTATCAGAATTTTTTATCCTTATCTATAAATACCTATTTGAATATAAAATCACTGTAAACTCGTAAAAAGTATATGACCAATCACAAATATGGTTTATTTATGTGGTGAAACGGTAGCCGGTTGCGTTGGCATGAGTGGTTTGTTCTACTCATCCAATCGACTGCTATGTGAAACGGTGGTTCAAGCCCTCTGGCCGGACGATTGATTTTCACTGCTTAGCGTCCCGCCCTTATTAAAAATCGCACGTTAGAAGGTAAGGCCCCGTTAATCCACAGCTCGCAGAAATTTCTACTACTGATGGTTGCCTTTGTAGGGGACGACAGCTGGTTGAAACAGATATAGTTTTTCTTCACATCAGACTAGGATTAGAGAGATTATTTGGCTTCATCTGTCTATGTCAAAATGCGAGCCCGGAAATGAAATCGCCAAGTCTTTCCAATTTTTATTTTCAGTAAGCAAGTCGGAGATACTGTTGGTAGGAAATTTTCAAAAATTCAACTATACCGCTCTCCTAACCTAAAGAGCACTTTCTCAGTGGTTCAGGAACTTTAATTTCAGATTAAATACCAATAAAAGTACTTCATTTTCGAAGTAATGTTGTGTCTGTTTTTCTGTTAATCAGCTATCACCTCCCTACGAACAACAACTCTCAAAAGTCCAAACTTGTGCGAGCTAAGGACTAACCTTTTAACGTGTGATTTCTATTTCCTTTCCATATGAAGAAAAATTTGGAGACTGCTGGAATTCTAAAATCATGCTTTGCCAGTGTGAATTATTAGTGATAAATAAAGTGGAAAAAGCTACTTTTTCTCACTTACCGCATGTACATCATAACTTTTAATCCAATCATTGTAGGATATGAAGAATGAAATATTCTTCAACCCAGATCTAATAGTCACAGAAAACAAAGAGTGAAATTTTTGTTTAGAAACCTGTAAACATTTGTTGATGTTTGAAAATTTATTTTGTTAGTATTTTCAGTTTTGAGCTCAATTTATGAAACTAGACTGTTACTTTTAGCTTATTTTTCAAACGTGGCTGTGATTAGAAATCATTAGAGGTCCAAATCTAATATTCAACTTCTAAAATATCTCCATGAATATGACAGAATAATTTAAAACTTTCTACAACTTGAAAATAAATGAAAAGGTCATAATGTGTGAATAGGTAGTGCTGAGTCTATTTTAAAAGTTGCTGTGTTGAAGAAAACAACTGAGTATTAGTAAATAACCTTTTTTGAGGGAACTTCGACAACTTTTCAATATATGCTTGACTCACGTTCAGCAGTGACCCTTTCCTTAATTTATCAACTACTTAAATAAATTAAGAAATGTCCATTTAAAAAAGATGACAGTGAAACAACTCATAAAGTAAACCGCAAAGGTACATATTTCTTATAGAAACTTGATTTTTTTGATATTATGTAAGGTTGAAACAGTTAAAAAAGTTTATATTAAGTGCGATGATTTCTATCTAAAGTTGAAATGAAAAAGTGTTCTTCAAAATATTCCTTTTAAGTGATTTGTTTGAATGTCTTTGAATCACATGAAAGTAATCTTTATTTGAACACTTATATATTGAAATCGCCAGATTTTCAATTACCTAATACTTGGATTCATTTCAAATGACAATTTTATATAATTTTACTTTTAGACATGTTTTGAACAATTGTATAGTTGCCATTAACATATTGCAGTAGAGTAGTTTTGAGTATCCAGTCCAAAAATACAATTTATCCTGATGATTGAATCTTGTAATTCTAAAATCTGTTGAATGTGCCTTAGAAATATTAATTAGCCTTTGATGTAAATATAGTTATACTTTATTTTTATACTGACTTATTTTTATATGATTATGTACTTCATTGATAATTATGAGCCCTCTTCCTCATTACTGTTGATGTTAACTATGAAATGTATATATTATATTGTTGATTTTCTGAAATGTTTAATACTCTTGTAGAATATTGATGAGAGAAAGAACAAAGAAGTACTTATCAGACAGAAAGACAATGAAATATTTCAAATAAAATGATTTGAATTTTATATTTCCTTATTTTCATCAAATGAGAATATATTGTTATATTTACATATTTTAAAAATTCGTTAAGCTAGTACTGATACTAAAGTGTCACTTATTAGGTAGCTGTACAAATTTTATACCCCTTTAGAATAAAATATTTTTTCCAAAATTTGCTTTCACTCCCATTGAGAAACCTTGAAAAATGTATGCTATTCAAAATACTTTTGAATTCACCTAGTATGTCAATGACTCTAGTTTGATAGAAAAAATTTCAACGCAGGGCTTCAAAAGGTTGTAACTCTACTTCCTTGGTACACTTTTGTTTCCAGCTGTGACCTTAGCCACGTTTCTCAAACTTTTCTGCCTTCACCCACCTTCATTGTGGATTTTTTTTCGTAACCCACATATTGAATAATATTCAGTATGATTATTATTACTTGTAGAGTCCAGAAAAAAAAACTACCCGGTCAACTCCGGTTCTCTCAGTTCAATGGAAATTGTCAAATGAGTATCTACTGTTCGTACAGCGATTTTTATTATATATTATGTTACTTATTCTCAAAAACCATTACTCGGTCATTCAACAGAAATATTTGAGATATCAAATTATTTGTCCCTCACTTTTTGCTCCCGCTGTGTCATAATTTCTGGCCAGCCGCCAGATGGTATGTCACTTCTCACCGAGAATCTCGCGCTGGCTATAGCAACTCCCAAGTCGTATCGCAATCTCGAAAAACCCGAGAAACGTGACCCGGAAAAGTGCATTCCTTTTCGATAAGTCCATACCCAGAATACGTGCATTACGTGTGAAAGAGCGGTGGAAACCGCCGAAGCCAGAGAAGTCCAGGATTCCAGGTGAGTTGACTACTTTCTTCGGCTGGTGGAACCCTAACTCTCTCAAACATCAACAAGTATAAAACAAGTCACTTCCCGCTGTCTGTCCCTATGTATGCTTAGATCTTTAAAACTACGCAACGAATTTTGATTAGGGTTTTTTTAATAGATATAGTGATTCAACAGGAAGGTTTATATGTATATAAAATACGTAATATAGTAGAAAAACGCTGATACTTTTAGAGGTTTATGATGTGATGTCGTAAATAAATACATTTTTAGAAAGGTCTACAAAAAAGTTCCCGATGGTGTATCTCTATCTCTTGGGATAACCCACAATAATCATTTTTCATCCTTTACTTTTTACGATAAATAATGGCTTATTTACGAAGCGATTTTAAGCAATACAGTATTGATCCTTATCCAATTGAGTACCTTAAATACATTGTGCATTTAATATAGATTAATATGACCCTTCACAGCATGTAATTTAAATATTTTCGAAAATATTAGATTTAATATGCAAGGACAGGGTTGCGGCGGTACTGGCCAGGGCGCGTGCCTGTAAACAGCGCGTCGAAGACCTCGCTTCGCCCTGTAACATTTGATAATCAGTAGCGATAACATGCGTTTATATGTATATTTAGTATCAACATTGCACCCGTTCGGAGTCGGGGTGGTTCGCTGTTATAAAACTAACCGTTACTGTCAGATTCGTTTAAAAGTGGTGATAGGAACATGGATTCCTGTAACCGGTGAACCAAATGGATATTCTATAGATAAGAAAAAATTGGTCACCTTACTATAAGTGACCAATTTTTTCTTATAAATTATATCTACAGAATATTCTACTTCAGTATAGAAATCGACAATTTGAATGACACTTTTTTTTCATTCAGTGCCTCATAACGACTAGCCCTCTTTTTCAATAACATTCTCTTCACTGAATTTCAAAGGTACTCTTCAATAAATTGAGAAAGGTATATTTTCAGAAGAGACAAAGTTTTGGGAAAGGTTTTGGCTTTTTTTAAATCTAGCAAATTCTCCATTCATTCATAAATTACTTCGGTGGACAGCAAAAACAAATCAACCTAATCATAAATAAATCCTTGTTTTTGAACCCGATA